TGTTTTGTTTTTCTTACATGTATTATCTATTTAGAAATGACGTTTGCTAGCTTAAAAAAGAAGCAGAGGGCTGTAATAACCAGATGCAACAGATGATCCCAGATGGGATACTGTTTTTTAAACCAGTTATAAAAAAAGGTTTTGGGCTCTGGCTGGTTTGGCTCAGAGGTTGGAGCAGGTGGATGGAAAGGTAGTAGGTTGGATCCAGGATCTAGGGGCTGCACGTGGGAGGCAGCCGATCCGCGAGTCTCTCTCACATCAGATGTCTTCTCCCCCCCTTCCACTCTCTCTAAGAAAACCAATATCCTCAGGTGAGGGTTAACCAATATTTTTGGCTCTACTGGGGAAATTTGGATGTAGTTTGATATTACATGAGTTGAAAATATACTGTAATGAAAAAATGGAGACGATTTTAGAAAGCAGACTGCAGGTAAGAGTAATCTCAGTAAAAACAAGACCATATATTAAGGTATGAATCTTTAATACTCGGGTCATAGGATTATTTTTAAATGTTTGCTTGTCTTTATTTTCTAACTTCCTAAAATGCATGTGTATACTTGCACTATCATAAAAAAAGGTATTTTAAAAAAAAGCAATGAGACATAAGAAAATAAAGTAAAACAAAAGTCAGACTTTAAAATGGGACCATGTATATTTGCCTATTACTTTGCGTTTAGGCTTACAGAAATGGGGCAGAGTAGGTGGTAGGCCAGGAGGCTCCCAGGTAAAGGAAGGTCATGATAACCCCTGATAGCAGGGTCCTGGGAAACTCACCAAGGTAGTGAGGGAAAACTCTGTGCTCCCCCGACTGTGGATCCTTGCTGCTGCTGCTTCTCCTGGTTCTTAACTGAGAGGCCAGGCTGTCCAGGTTTCGCTGAAGGCCCTCTCCACGGTGAGCAGCGGTGCCCTGTTGGTGCAATCAGGAGCCCCACACTGAGATGCCCCTTCCTTGCTTCCTCTCTTTCTCAGGGACCCGGCACACGTGCTGCAAGAGCAGGGCAGGGCCCCAGAGGGCAGGTCTTCCTGTCCTCCCTGTCACCATAGCAGACCCACTCTCGAGAGAGAATCTGCAACAGGTGGGGTTCTCTGCCCAGTGGTCAGAAAAAGGGACATTGAACTGGTAATCTGATAGAAAATGTGCAAAATTAGACCATACTTCCCAGGGGTTCCTTCCAGTGGGCCCTGGGGCCTCGACCTTGTTCTTCCTCTAATGGGAGTCACTGCCTGTCAGGTGGCCTGGGTTCCAGTCTCTGTGTCCTGGCCACACTAACTTGCTGTGTGATTTGGGGCAAGTGACTTGCCCTCTCTGGTCTCAGGTTTCTCACCTGTAAAGGGGTCTGAAAGGTCCCTGTCGTTCTCACACTCAGAGTTCTCTGTGTGTGTCCTGTCTTCATTTATTCCTGCGTGACTTGTGGGGGCTTTGGCCTGGGATCTCGTCTCCCCTCAGCGTCAGAAGGTGAGTCAGATCACAATGTGCCCCTGCTTGAGACCCTCCGAGACATCCTATCCCATTTAGAATAAAATCCTCACTCGTTGTTACCTGACCATGAGGTCTGGCCTGATCTGGTGCCTGCTCCCCTCTCTGACCTCATGTAGCAGCCCTATAACCCCCACCCAACTCTGTGCTGGCCCACCCACATGGGCCTCTGCTGTCCCTCTGAGATGCCAGGCTTTGGCCTGCCTCTGGGACTTTGCACATGCCAGGCCCTCTGCTTTGAGTGCTTAGACTGACTCTTGGTTTTTTTTTTTATCCTCACCCGAGCACATTTTTTCGTTTTTTGTTCAGATAGAGTGGGAGGGAGAGAGAGGAAGAGAGAGAGAAAGAAACATCGATGTAAAAGGGACACATTGCTGCCACCCACACGACCCAACCAGGGCTGGGGACAAACTGCAACCGAGGTACATGCCCTTAGCGGGAACCGAACCCGGTCTCTCTGGACCGCAGGCCGACGCTCTAACCGCTGAGCAAAACCGGCCAGGGCTGTTTTTTTGCTTTTTAGAATCCTCACCCAGCCGAGCCAGATTGGCTTAGAGATAGTTTGCAGGCCAAAGGGTCACAGGTTTGATTCCAGTCAAGGGCGCATACCTGGGGTTCAGGTTCAATCCTCGGCCCTGATTGTGGTCAAGCAGGAGGCAACCAATCGATGTGTCTCTCTCACATGGGTGTTTCTCTCTCCCTTCTACTCTGTCTAGAATCAATGGAAAAAATATCCTCAGGTGAGGATTAACAACAACAACAAAATATCCTCACCCTAGCATATTTGTTCCATTTATCTTCAGATAGAGTGGAAGGGAGGAGAGAGAGAAACATAGATCGGCTGCCTCCCTTACGTACAACCCCAACCAGGGTCAGGACCTAACTGCAACTGAGGTACATGCCCTTGACATACCTGCCCTTGACCGTGCCCTTGACCAGAATCGGACCCTCAAGTCTTTGGTCTACAAGCTGATGCTGTAACCGCTGAGCCAAACCAGCCAGGGCTAGACTGACTCTTTACCTCACTCTTTGCCTCCTCTGAGAAGCCCTCCCTGACCTCCCTACCTATAGTATCAAGCTACGCCCATTTCCCTCTCATCAACTTAGGATTTATTTATCTTATCTATCTGACTTATTTTTATTCTCACCTGAGGACATTTTTGCATTCATTTTCAGATCGAGCGAGAGGGAGGAAGGAAGAGAGAGAGAAACATCAATGTGAGAGAGACACATCACACATCAACTGGCTGCCACCCACACAACCCCAACTGAGGCCGGGGACAAACTGCAACCAAGGTACATGCCCTTAGCGGGAACGGAACCCGGTCTCTCTGGACCGCGGGTCAACACTCTAACCACTGAGCAAAACTGGCCAGGGCTCATCATCCTAGGGTTTAAAAAAGAACTTTGAAATGTAATATCCAGCCAGGCAGTGTGGCTCAGTAGATTGAACATCATCCCATGGACTGAGAAATCCCAGTTCGATTCCGGGTCAGGGCACATGCCTGGTTTGCAGGCTCAATCTCCAGTGGGGGGCGTGCAGGAGGCAGCCGATCAGTGTTTCCACTATCCACATCCACGTGCCCCCATATCATAAGAACACACCCAAGTAACACACCCTATGAACAGCCCCCCCAGAAGCCCCTGTCCCTTTACTGCCCCTCCATCAGCGTAGCCACCATCCGCAGTTCTAACAGCACAGATTAATTTGGCCACATTAGTGCTTGGCAGCATGTGTGTCTGTATGGGGTGGGAAGTTGAGGGACACCTGTCCGTGCAAGGGTATTGCGTCTTTAACAGGAGGGAGACAAGGGTGCTTTCAGACTGAGTGCTAGGAGCAGTGGAGACCAAGGAAAGAGGGGGACACCTAGAGCAGGAGCCTTGGGGAAGCCAGAGGGGGAGACACAGAGCCCTGGTGGAGCATCTGTCTCTGGTTGCTGGGGGGTGGGTGCCTGCTCCGTTGTATCCCAAGGGAGGGACGATCTCAGGCTGCCACTTACAGGTGCTGGGTGCAGGAGTGGAGGTGTGCGTGGCAGGACGTGGAGGCTGAATTGTTCCTGTCACTGGGCGGCAAGCCCAGCTGCCGTGAAGGTTTGGGGGAAATGGAAGATGACTGGGTAGGGGCCAGGGATGGGGCAGTGGATGCAGCCAGGGAGGGACATGGGTGAAGCCAGGAGGGGCCGGTAGGTGGGGAGAAGAGGAAGGTGGCAAGGGACCCGAGGAAGAAAAATTCAAGGACGTCAGGAAAGACAGCAGGGGCCAGTCAGAAAGTGGGGGATGTGATGTCCAGATTTCAGAGGTGGGGCAGTTGTACCCGGCACAGCCTAGGCTGTGGCCGGGAGAGCTGGTGGCTGAGGCAGAGCGAAAGGCCAGCTAGATGAGGTCAAGGAACTGAATGGCCATGTGCTCCGGCCCCCAGGAGAGCAGAGGGTGTGGGGTGGAGCTTCCAGGAACAAGGGAAGTGGACGGGAGACTGGACAATGAGGAAGTCTGTGGGCCTCGGGGCAGATGCTACACAGAGCCTGGCCAAGGGTCAGGGTGGCTCAGCTGACCCCAAGGGTCCTGGTCTTGAGGAATAAGAGGGGAAGGTCCTCCTGTAGGTGGAAGGTGACCGTTCCCTGGAGCATGGAGGGGAGGGAGGGAGCCGGAAGCCAGAGGCAGGGCTGGGGTAGCAGCAGGTGAGAAGGCAGAGGGTTTGAGGCAGAGGCTGGCCTGGGATGTGAGGGGGCGCTGGCTGGACTCCAGGTTCTCAGGGGGGCTCTGCTGAGAGTCTGTGGGCACCCGCGTAGCTCCACGAACATAGCACTTGGAAATGAGGAATTGGGGATCCCCACCTCACCTGGGAAAAGGCTGCCCCCTGGGGGAGGGCCTGGTCTCAGAGCTGGCCTTGGAGCAGAATCACCTTGGGACTCAGGGCCCCTGCTGCCCCACTGCGGGACCCCCGGACCCTCGGGAAGCCTAGTGCCGCCTTCCCAGGAGGGGCAGGCCTGCCGGGCCTGGGCGCACACCGAGGGTCGCCTCCTGGAGCACAGCTTGGGGGCAAGGCAGGAATTCCGGAAATTCCAGATTCTTTGGGGGGTCTTGGAGCGCCCAGGCGGGGAGAGCCGGCTCAGCTCCACCGCCAGAGGGCGCCCTCGGCCAGGCGGGCGTTCGGGTGTAAGTGGCGGGTGCGCCGGAGCGCAGCCCCCGAACGGCGGGGAGGCCGGAGAGGCCGGCGGGGAGGGACGCGGCGGCCGGGGCGGGGGCAGCAGCCCGGGGCGGGGCGGGGGCCGGTGGCCGCGCCCGCCCCTCCCTCCCACCTCTTTTATTTCTTCTTCCTTTCTTTCTTTCTTTCTTTCACTCCTTCTCGCTCCCTGGTCTTTGCCTCGCCTCCGCAGCAGCGGCTGGCGGGCGGGCTCCGCAGCCTTTGTTGAGCGCGGCCGAGTCCGGCCGGACCGGGAGCTGCACGCGCGCCGCAGGGCAGGTCCTGAGCCGGACCGGACCCGACAGGAGCGAGCGCACGGACCAGCGCGCCGTGGACGGCATGCCAGGCCCGGGCCCCCGCGCCCCCCGCAGCCCCGTGCCGCTGCGCCCCCTCCTGCTGCTGCTGTGCGCGCTGGCGCCCGGCGCCCCCGGACTTGCACCAGGTGGGTGCTCCCCGCTCCCCCGCGGCTCCCGCGGCCCCTCCCCTCCGCAGACCCCGCGCCCGCCCCCCGCGCGCGTGGGACCCGGGTGGGGTCCGGGCCCTCCGACTCCGCCATCGGCGCTGCTGTGGCCGGGACGACGTCCCCAGCTCTTCGGGCTGCACTGTCCCCTCCTCGGGCGCAGCAGCGCGCGTCCCTCCCGGGGTCTCTCGTCCGAGGGGCTGGACAGAGCCCGGTCTGCACGCGGAGTCGCTTCTCACCGTCCTCCGCGCGCCTGTGTGGACAGCCGGCTGCAGGGCGCTGCGCTCCTCCGCCCCCCGGCCGCCCCCCGACTCAGCGCTGGCCGCGGGCCCTGGCCGCGGGGTCCGGTCTCGCGCCGCCCTGCACTTCCTGCCTCCTCCTCCCCGAGTGGGAAGGCGCCCGGCCGGCCTCCGAAGAGCCTCTGGCCGCGGAGCTGCAGGCATGTCCGGAGCAGCCGGCCTGGGGATTTAGGAACCGGGGGTGGGGGGTTCCCCGGTCCCGCGCTCGGGGAGCTTCTGGTCTGATGGGACAGTGGGAAGAGCCTGCAGGAGGCAGGCGGGGAGGCTGTAGGGAAAGAGGGCCGGAGCTTGCGGGCTCTGGAGGACGAGAAATCCTGGGTGGGCTGGAAAGGGTGCAGGGGTGGGGGCTGGGGGTAGGGAGACCTGCTCCCCAGTAGGGAGATTGTGGTTCGGGGAGCCAGTGAGGGGAGGAGCAGATGAGAACAGTGCTCTAGGGAGTTTGGTGAGCGGCAGTGTGTCCCGCGTGGAGAATGATCAAACATTTAATGGGCATTTACTGTGTGCCAGCCATCCTGGTTCTTGTTTCTCACCCGCAGGACAGCAGCCTCACCAAGCAGGGGGTGGCGAGACAGGCTAGTAAACCAGGACAAGCGGAATAGGGAAACTGAGGCAGAGAGTTAACAGCAGTTTGCAGCCAACTGGTAAATCCTATCTTCCCCAAACCAGGGACACTTAAATGGTTTGTACTTGTCCCCAACCAGAGGGCAAATAGCGTAAATCACTCTACTCAGGGAGACACATACAGAAATCCAGTGAGTGCCATTCGCCAACATCACCCAAGGACAAGTTGAGAGAATAAGTCTCATTTTGATACATCAGCATAAAGCTGATGAGTATTCTATTGAAATCCTCCCCTAAGACCTCCCCTAAACACCCAGCCTTTAAAAGCTCTCCAGACAAAGGTCCCAGCATGAGCTCTGTTCCCAGGGGCATGCCCACCCTGCCTTCCCTCACAGACGTGCACCTCCTGAACTCTGAGGGACCCCAGAAGGCTTGCAACCAGAGCAGCAACGGGCAGAGGCAGTTCATCCCAGACGAGCCCCCTGAACCTGTCCCCAAGGCCCCTTTTCTCTGACCTCTCAGTGAGCAGACCAGCCTGGGCTCATCTCCCCAGCCCTTTCTTGTCCCCAGCTTTAATAAACATCCTCCAAAATCCTCCTGTTGTGAAACTTTTCCTGGACAAAGTCAAGAACCCACACACTCAGGGCCTGGTCCCCTTTCCCGTCACAGTGGAAAGTCCTTTATGGATGGGGGGACAGGCTCAAGGAGAGTAATCTGCTAGGTCACCCCTGGGCTGCCCAGAGGTGGGAGAGGACGAACCAGGTGATGGGGGTGTGGGAGCAGGAAAGTGGATTTCCCTCAGGGGTCTGCCTCCGCGCCTGAGCTTGGGGCCAGGTCCCCTGGCAGCTGTGGGAGGAACTGGGAGGGGGCCCCCTGTGGGCAGGGTCTTCTCCACTTCCACTGCAGGCCAGACCCATGTATGAGTGTGGCCACCCTCCTGCCCTCCAGGTCATCCATTTGTCAAATGAGGACAGCGTCATCTACCTCATAGGGGTCTTGTGAGGACTGAGCGACATGAATGACCTCCATGTAGTGGCTGTTATTTTTGTTAATCTGCCAGGCAGCCCCAGGAAGATTAGGGAGTCCTTGGTGAGTCCTGTCACTGGGAGCTGCCATGTGAGGGTGGAGGCAGGGCAGGCACCCTCCCCGCCCCCAGAGTGGAGTGTCAGTAGTACCTGGAGCCCTCATAGATGTGCAGCAGGGGCCTCCCCCTGCTGCTCACACTCAGGATCCCTAAACCAGGGACACCCAGAGGTGCTGCGCTCTGTCATTTCGAGTTGCCCAGGAGACCTGGCCTGGGGGCTCTGCCTACTGAATGCGACCTTCTTTGGGGCCAAAAAAGCACATCTTGGGCTCACTTTTAGGAAGATGTGACACACCAAGGGACTTGGAGTTGCTGAGACTGGGGCCCAGCAATATCCCCATCAAAACGCCACATCGCAAGTATGAGCCCTGTGTGTCTGTCTCCCACTCCTACACACACACACTCACTCACCCTCTTTGGTATGAGCAGTGGGTCATTGTTACCGGAAAGGGGACCTGGCCTTTGGCCGGTCTGCCTAGGGCCAGCCAGTCGTGTGTGGGGAGATTTCACGGCAGGAATCCAGGTGACCAGGAGGGAACGTTAGTTAAAGCTGGGGACATGAAACAAGGAAGGGCTTAGCATGGAAGCAGCAACAGGAGAGCCCGGACTGGGCTGCCCTAGCGCTCTGGGAAGTCGGAGACAAGGGGCCTTGGGGACAGGTTCAGGGGGTAGCCTGGGATGAGCTGCCACTGCCCAGTGCTCCCCTGGTTGCAAGTCTCATGGGGCCCCTCAATTTAGGAGGTGCCTGCCCGTAGGAAAAGAAGAGAGGGAAGAAGAAGGGAAGACAGAGTGGTGGGGGTGCTCCCCAGAGGGAGAGCATGCTGGGTCCTTTCTCCTGAGGATTTTAATGTTTTCTTCCAGGCGGGAATCTTACGGCAGGTCTCAGTGCAGGGTTTCAGCAGAATGTTCATCCGTTTTCTGGGTGCGCCCCTGCAGGGCGTGGTCTTCATTGACTGGTCAGTGTGAGGGCAGGGGTCATTGGTCATTGAAGCTGGTCCTGGTGTCGTCCACCCAGCTTGGCTGCTTTTCTGTCTGGAGCTGAAATACAACTGAGGCCCAGATGTTATCTCCAGGGAGGTGACCTTCTGTACCTGATGAATCGTCTGCCAGTTTGTTCAGCTGTCTGCCTCGGTTTCCCTGGTCCACTTGTCCTGGCTCACTGGCCTGTCTCAGTTGGAAGGGCTGGCTCACAGCAAAGGTTCCTGCTAGGGAGTGGGGGGTACACACCCTATTGGCATTTCTCTGGTAGAAGCTCCAAAGCGACCGTTCTGACACCTGAGAAATAGCCAAGTATTCTGTGGAGCTCTTGCTAATCTCTAATCATACCTAGATCACACTTGCTATGTGCCATTGACTCTCCTCGGCCCTTACATATTACTTCATTTAACTGCCATAATCTAAGATAGTAGATATGACTCTCATACCCATTTCATAGATGGAGAAACTGAGGCTCTGAGTGGTGGCTGTCAGAGCTGGCAGACCAGCTCTGCAGCGCAGTAACCGGAATGCCTTTGCTTATCTCTGTGTGGCCCCTGTCACAAGCCTGAACCTAGCAGCTTCCTCTATAACTCTCCTGGAATGAGTGCCCTGCAGTGTTGGCCTGAGGCCCACAGCAGGACTGCTCCACGGCAGACATGTCCCCGGGACACATTTGTGCGTTCTGGGGGCTGGTTCTCCCTAGAGGTTTGGAGTCACCAGTCACGTACAGGCCTCCCTGTCCCACCCACACACGTTCGGGTACACTGCTGCCGTGTGGACTGGGCCACGTAGCTTGTGCTCCTGCAGTACACTGAGCTTGCAGCCCGGAGGGCAGCAGCCCCCTCTCCTTCAGCTTGGCTTCAGCAGCCGTGGCTGTTACTGTCCTCACCCTCCAGGCCACGCACTGTTAGTGGCTGAGTTGGGACTGCACCGGGGCCTTCCTCTGTTCAAAGCCCACACTTTGACTACGCCTTATCACTCCACTGCCTCTTCCCGGGCTTCCCTGCCTGCCGCGTGTCCCCTTTGACTCCTCGCTTTGTTCCCCGTCCCTGGGGATCCACCACCAAGATGCCCTCCTCATCCTCACGGTGAAACATGGACCTTATGTCTAGAGACATCATCTCACAGTGCCCCCTTTTTTACTTATTTATTTAAAAAAATTTTTTTTCTTTATTGATTTTAGAGGGAGAGGGAGCGAGAGATAGAAACATCGATGCTAGAACATCGATTGCCGCCTCCTGCATGCCCTCCACTGGGGATCAGGCCCATAACCTGGGCATGCGCCCTGACCAGGAATTGAACCGGCGACCTCTTGGTGCATGGGTTGACACTCAACCACTGAGCCACACTGGCTGGGCTCACAGGTGCCCCTTTGACAAAGTTTGTCTTCATCCTGGCCACGTGCGGGTATCCCCTCCCCTCGGTTTTGTCTCAGCACTGTGCCAAGGGGCAGGCTTATGAGGGACCTGCACCCATTTCTCTATTTGGAGGGCAAGGATGGTATCTTAGACACTTTCCTGGACTTTGGAGCACCTCACACTGCCTCACAGCACCAGATACCACGGACCAGGCAGGTGACATACGTGGACAAAATCACGTTTGCAGGCCGTGGTTGTGAGGTTGCAATCCAACGTGCCCTCATTCCGTGTCAGAGCAGACATCGCCTTAAAGGTGACCAGCCCTTGCAATGGTAGAAGCCCCTGCAGGGTTAGAAAAGCCCCGGTGTACTGATTTGGTGGCCCCAGAACCCTGACCTGCAGCGCCAGCCCTCCGGGCCAGTGCTGACCGATTACCTGCAACCTTTCAGAGCCCTCCAGGTGTTGCTGAAGTTTATCCAGAGTCACATCCAGGGCAGAATTTCCTAACTTCCCCGAGGCGCTCGGTCAAAACAGAGTTTCCTGGCTCTGCTTTCCTGGAGGTGCTGATTCAGAGCCTCCGGGATGGGGGATCGGAATTGTTTTCGACGGATCATTATCTGGGGAGTGTGGAATAGCCTCGCCCTGGTGTCCTCCTGAAAATCAGAGATGGGGGAGATAGGCTCAGAGCCACATGCAACAAGTACCCCCGGGGGCCACCCTGCCTCCTGAGTCCAGGCACGTCCTGTTGCTTCTGTTGGGGGGATGTGCCCCCGAGGGCCCTGGCTGTGGCCGGCTGTGGCGGCAGGGGCTGGGGAGGGGGTGTTCTCAGCAGGGGCACCCCACTGTGCCTCCAGGGTGCTCACAGGAAGTCTGGCAGGTGGCTCCCTGGGGGCCAGCTGGTTTCTGCAGCCTGGCCTTGACGGAGCTTCAGGCTGGGTTGGAAGTGAGATGAGTGTGGGGCTTTGGGCAGAGGAAGGCCAGGACCTGGTGGGTGAAGGGGCAGAGACCCGAGGTGGGCAGTGGTGGAAGCATGGAGCCCTGTGACCAGCTTGTTGCAACAGCGAGACCTGCAGATGGGGAGCTGAGGCACGTAGAGGTGACACAGCAGAGCCGGTCGCGGGCACCTGGGGACGCGGGGATGTGCATCTCCACTCTGGTCCCCGCAGACGCGCGTCTTTCTCCCCACAGGGCCCGACGGCCTGCAGGCGCTGGACATCGTGCACCCGGTGCGCGTGGACGCGGGGGGCGCCTTCCTGTCCTACGACCTGCGCCCACGCTCGCTGCGCAAGCGCGCCGTGTCCGCGCACCGGGCCGTGCACACCTTCTACGAGCTGCAGTTCCGCGGGCGCTCGCTGCGCTTCCACCTGGCGGCCAACACGCACCTGCTGGCGCCCGGCTTCGTGAGCGAGACGCGCCGCCCCGGCGGCCTGGGGCGCACGCACATCCGCACGCGCCGGCACGCCTGCCACCTGCTGGGCAAGGTGCAGGGGCCTGCGCTGGAGGGCGGCATGGCGGCCATCAGCGCCTGCGACGGCCTGGTGAGTGCCCGTCCCGCCTGGACGCGCCCGGTGGCTCTGGCCATTCACTTCTCCCAGGCTCAGTGGCCGTGCCTGTCAAACGGGGGTGACACCGCAGGGCCCCTGTTCTCCAAGACTGGATTCCCCAACTTTTCTTCGTGCGCGCGTCCCCCGCGGGCCAGGATCACACGGAGGGTCCCATGGGTCAGGTGGGGTGGGCTGCCCAGCTGGCGTTTGTGACTGACGTTGGAGACGCAGGCCTGGAGTCCCCAGGTTTGGGAACCAGACTGAGCAGCTCTGAGCGCAGCTGAGCCCCTCTCCTGTGGGGGAGCCTGTCCCTTCTCCGACAGGCTCCGGGACCGGGGAATAGATGCCCAGAGGAGATGCAGAGTGGCCTGGACGCCAGGGCCCGGGCTCCCGGGTCAGCATGGCAGTCTGGGACCATGTGGAGGACCTCCTGTTAGATTCATGCACGGCCTCCTAATGGGGGAGGGGCGGGGTGGGTGTGTGGAGCCCCTTCAGCCCCAAAGCCGGTGGCTGTGTGAAGTGGCAGGACATTCGGGGCCGAGGGCGCAGCGTGAACAGAGGCCCAGTGGTCCGGGGTCAGCGGGGGTGGTGGGACGGGGGCAGCGCCGTCCAGGCTGGCGCAGCCCGTGTGACCTGGCGCCTCCCTGCAGAAAGGTGTGTTCCAACTCTCCCACGAGGACTACTTCATCGAGCCCCTGGAAGGTGTCCCGGCCCAGCCTGGCCGCGCCCAGCCCCACGTGGTGTACAAGCGTCAGGACTCCAAGACAGGGATGGAGGACGACCACCCCAGGTCGTCCGGCACCTGCGGGGTGCAGGGTATGCTCCTCTTCCTGCAGCTGCAGGGCCGGGGATGGGCACAGGGCACAGAGGTCCTTTCTGGAAGCTTCCCCATGCTTAGCTCCCCTTGGTCCAAAGGGACATGGACAGACCAACAGACCTGCCCCAGTCCATCCTCTGGATTGACCCCTTTCAGCCAGGCCATGTGCACCCCAGCAGGGCAGCCAGTCAGAAGCCTCCCACTCCTCCCGACTTGGGTCCCCGAGTAACTGACCTCTCGTACTGGGGACTTAGCGCACCAGCCAGTGCAGGTAGCAGCTGCCCCAGGGCTCCTGGGTTTGGGACTGCTTGCTGGCCTCACCGGCTGCCACCACTGCGGGACTGTGCTGGGACAGAGAAGCACTTCTTGGCCTCAGTTTCCCTGATTGTGAGCTTGGGGCAGAGGAGCAGGCCTCCAGAGGTCACCTGGGGTTAGGCCTGTGTCTGCATGTGTGGGGGTACACTAACTCCCCGTGGGGGAGCCACACGGGGAGATGGGGCCAGGAAGTCCCCTCACGTGGGCACAGTGCTTCACTGTGTCCTGTCCCCCATTTCACTGGCCCACGAGGTCGCTCTGAGGCCGATCGGGTATTCCTATATATAGGCGGGGGTCCCAGGGGCCCAGACTGGAAGTGACTCGGTTAGAGGCACATGGCAAGGTCAAGGGCAGAGCCGCCCACGGAGTCCAGTGCCGTCCCTATGAGCTTGTGAGGGGAGACCCTTGAGATGTGTGGCTGGGGCCCGTCTGACAGCTCACCCCACCCGCCCGGGGCCCACAGAGTCCGTGGAGCAGGAGCTCCAGCAGCGGGACCTCTGGGACCAGCAGCAGCAGCAGCAGCAGCAGCAGCAGCCGCCGAGGCGTCTGCACCAGCGCTCGGTCAGCAGAGAGAAGTGGGTGGAGACCTTGGTGGTGGCCGATGCAACGATGGTGGAGTACCACGGACAGCCGTACGTCGAGACCTACGTGCTCACCATCATGAACATGGTGAGGCTGCCGCGGGCAGTGGCTGAGGGCCAGCAGGGGGCATGGGTGTGGGCGGTGGGCGTGGGCAGCAAGGCTGGCCCCAAGGCCCAGGCCCCCAGCAGGGCAAGAGTCTCCAAGCCCTTGAGTCCGAGAGGCCCTGGGGGGGAGCTGGGAGGGCACCTCTGGGTGTACTTTACGCACCTTCCGTCTTTGAGGGTGGCCTTGTCTCCTGGGCTGAGTGGGGGGGCCCCTTGAGTATGTTGGGGAGAGGTGCGTGCAGCTGGCGCACTGCAGAGCCCCCCTGCGTGAACGTGGGTGTGGGTTGGGGGCGGCAGTGGCTGCCCATGTCCTAGGTCCAGGGTGACGGCCTCTCTTGGGCAGGTGGCTGGCATTTTCCATGACCCCAGCATCGGGAACCCCATTCACATCACCGTCGTGCGCCTGATCCTGTTGGAGAACGAGGAGGTGAGAGGCAGCATCACCTGTCACCCAGTCCCCGCGGGCCATCTCTCAGGTCCCCCAGGAGATGCCTGTGGGCGGAGGAGTAGTCGGGCCGACTGCTATCCTGCTGCCGCCCCCTGGGCGTTGGCGTCCTGAGCCTTCGGAGCCCAGGGGCAGGCAGAGTTGCTCACACTCTCTGCCCGCAGGAGGACATGAAGGTCTTACACCACGGGGACAAGACCCTGCACAACTTCTGCAAGTGGCAGAACAGCCTCAACATGAACGGGGACGCCCACCCGCAGCACCACGACACCGCCGTCCTGATCACCAGGTGCCGCCAGCTCGGGGGGCCCTGCCCTGCCCTCAGGACCTCGTGCTGTGGGGCGGCTGTCAGCCTCGGGAGGACAAGCGCGGGCACTCACGCAGTTGTCAGAAATGACAGAGAGAGACTGCGCCCTCGTCCAGGGCGAGGCGCAGCACCCCTGCCGGCAGTGGGCGTGGATCCGTGCACGGGCCCCCTTCAGATTTCACCCGTGTGCCCTGCGTGTGTGTGTGCGTGCGTGTGCGCGTGTGTGTGCAGCTCTGTGCAGTTTTATCACACGCGTGCGGCCACCAGCCCGGTCAGAGGCAGTGTTGTGAATCCCACGCGGAGTTCTGTCCCCTCAGCTGGGCTCCAGCAGGTCTGTGCAGGGTCAGCTCCGCAGACCCAGCCGTGTCCTGGTGGGGCTTTTGCGAACGAGGGCAGTTGCGTCCCAATGGCTGTCATGCGGGCTCGACATCTTGGCGTGGTGGGCAGGCATCCTTCTCCCTCCGTCCCTGGGCTCCTTGGCTCGGGTGGGCCTGGCACTGGGCCAGGTCAGCCTGAGGGGTGCTTCTCTCTGCCTGAGCAGGAAGGACCTGTGCATGGCCATGAACAAGCCCTGTGAGACCCTGGGCCTGTCTCACGTGGCCGGCATGTGCCAACCCCACCGCAGCTGCAGCATTAACGAGGACACAGGCCTGCCCTTGGCCTTCACCGTGGCCCACGAGCTCGGACACAGGTACCGCTCAGCCCCCACCGCCACCTTCCAACTGGGGGCACCGGGAAGCCGGACCTGTGGTCCTCAAACTCCCAGGGAGGGGTGCCCTGGCCATACACGGTTCCTGGGTGTCCCAACCCACAACCAGGCTTTGTGCCTGTTAAACAGGAAAGAGGCCCACTGGATACATCGGGCTGTGACCGCAGAGCCGGTCTTGTTGGGACAGGCCAGATGTCCCCAGAGGGCACTGGCTGTCCCTCCTCTTCCCGCACTGCTTTTGTGTTTTACTCTGGGCCCTGTGGCTACTGTCCTGTGGCCCCAGGCAAGTACCCTGCCCCTCTGGGCCTCTGTGCGCTCCCCAGGGACTGAGGGGCTGGGTCAGGGGCGATGTCCAGGCCTCCTGCACCTGACGTGTCTGCATGAGGCTCCCGTCTGCCCGTGGCCTGTCCCCTCCGTCTCGAGCCGGGCGGCTCCACTGGTGGACGTGGCAGCATCTCAGACGGCTCCTAGGGTTCCCTCGGCCAAAGTGTTGGCGCGTCGGGCAGGCGCCTGGGTTCCCTGGCTGAGGCCCGGGGGAAGCTAGAATAACAGTAGAATAGCACACGGCCCAGACCGGCCGTTCCCAGGCCGTGTCACCTTGGCGAGCTCACGGCCTCTCTGAGCCTCTTCGGGAATAGCAGTGCCTCCGGGCAGCTCTGAGGACTGAACCAGGGAGCATTTCTGAAGGTGCTCAGTCTGGTGCCTGGCACATGGCGTGTCCTTCCCGAGGATGGTCTCGAGGCCTTTTCTGGGGGGCAGCAGCTCAACTCTAACTCGGGCGCACAGCCTCGGGACAAGGACCTGGGCGGTGGGAGGACCTCTGTCAGACTGTTCTTGGTGCCAGTGAAGTTGCCACTGTTGCCCGCCCGGGGCAGGAGCTGGGAGGCTTTGGGTCCCTGGTGCCCTGTTCAGGCTCCGGCTGCTGCACCTGAAGGGGGCCCACTAGATACGAGCCATCGCAGCCGCTTTCTAGAGTAAGGAAACAGGCCCGGGGAGGGGAGGTGACTTTCCTAAGGCCACACAGCTGTTTGGCGTGGCCAGACCTGGGAACAGGATCGGGCACCTTGCGGGCCTGGGGAAGGGTCTGGCTGGCGCCCCCGCCCGCCCCGCCCCCACCAGCCCCTGGGGCCTGTCTCCCGCAGTCTCGGCATTCAGCATGACGGCAACGGCAACAACTGTGACTCGGCTGGGAAACAGCGCTTCATCATGTCTCCTCAGCTGCTGTATGACTCTGCACCCCTCATCTGGTCCCCCTGCAGCCAACAGTACATCACCAGGTTCCTCGAGTAAGCCCCCCGCCCCCGAGGCCCTGCCTGCGACTCTGAGGTCAGGGCGTGACCAGGGATGAGGACAGTGGCACTGAGGTGCCCGGCAGAGCGACGTGCAGGGACCCCCGTTTCCTCCTATTGTGATGAAAATACATATACGTATGCGTCTTAAAATCCTCACCTGAGCTCTGGCTGGTTTGGCTCAGCGGCTAGAGCGGCGGCCCGCAGACAGGAGAGTCCCGGGTTCGGTTCCCACTAAGGGCACGTACCTCGGTTATAGTTTGTCCCCGGCCCTGGTTGGGGTCATGTGGGTGCGACCAGTCGATGTGTCTCTCTCACGTCGATGTTTCTCTCTCTCTCTTCCCCCGTCTCTCTCTCCTACTCTATCTGTAGATGCAAAAATGTCGAGTGAGGATAATAATAATAATAAAATCCTCACCTGAGGGTGTTTTTCCATTGGCTTTTTAAGGTAGAGTGGAAGGGAAGGAGGGGGAGAGAGAGAAATGTCAGTTGGCTGCCTGCCACACCACCCTGACCAGGGCTGGGGGTCACACCTGCAACCCAGGTACATGCCCTTGACTGGGAATCAGACCTGCCGAGGCTCTAACTGCTGAGCCAAACCAGCCAGGGCTTAAATATGTTCGTAAATTATTTTTAGAGAGAAAGGAAGGGAGACGGAGAGATAGAAACATTGATGACAGAAAAACATCCCTCAGCCGCCTCCTGCACGGCCCCAATGGGGGAACCGAGCTCGAACCCCGGGCATGTGCCCTGACCGGGAATCACACCGGCGACCTCTGGGTGCCTGGGACCACGCTCAAGCACGGAGCCACCGGGCCGGGCTCCTGTTGCCCTTTAACCTGCACAGGAACCCCCTTCTCTCCTCTTTCTGAGTCTGATACTTACAACTTTTTTTCCTGCTCCCTGCAAAGTCTCTCTTTCCTTTGAGTTATTATTCAGAGTATTTTTCTGCTGTTGAAGGTTTTCTTAAAATGGCTTGGCTGGATTTCCCGCTCGGCCTGAGGCTCTGGGGTGCCCTCTGGGAGGCCTGTGGACCAACAGGACTTTGCTGAGTCGCTGCTGAGGGGTCGGTCGGGGCAGGCTGCCCCTTCGGGGGGTCTTCAGGCCAGGTGTCCTTCTCTGAGTGATTCAGTCCTCCAGAGAGGAGTTCTCTAGTTGGTACGTCTGGTGGCAGGGTTCTGACAGCCAAACGAGGAAGGGTCTGCGCGTCTTTGTATAGACTTTTCCTTGTTCCTTTCTCGGTTGGTCCCTCTGCCTTGGATTTTCAACAGGTGCTGCTGGCCCAGGTCTTCCGGTGCCTCGTCTGCCAGGAGGGACAGGACTGGGGAGGGATCTAGGTCCGAGGGCGTCTTCCAGACTTTGAGGGAGACATCCATGTGGCTCCCCCTGCACCCCCCGCCCCCCAGCAGCTTGGCCGTTGGCTCTCGCTGCCCTCTTTCATCTGCCATCCTCCCTCGGTCTTGCGGATTTATGTTTGTTCCTTCCCTGTCACGGTGGTGGGGTTTGCGAGGTGGTGGAGATAAGCCTTCAGGTGCCACGTTTTCTAGACGTCCACTCCCTGTGGGGTTTGGGCAGGGACGTGACCACATCCACGCTGGACATGAGAGCAAGGACTCGGGTCTCTGACTGTGCGGGGTGACTGGGGGGGAGAGGGGGACGGGAAGCAAAGGAGACTTGACTTGACGGTAAGAACCTGGATTCTGGCTCAGCTTCTTCCCCTGTTGGCAGACAAGTTACATTTGACCTTCAGCCTAAAGAACGGGATAATGAGTGTGGCCCGGCTCCTGGGTTAATAATCAGGATTCAGGCCCGGCCGGTGTGTGGCCCAGTAGCTGAGCATTGACCCTGCACCAAGAGGTCACCGGTTCGATTCCTGGTCAGGACACAGGCCCAGGTTGTGGGCCCGATCCCCAGTGGGGGGCGTGCAGGAGGCGGCCAGTCGATGTTCTCTCTCGTGAGTTTCTCTGTCTCTCTCTCAAATCAATAAAGGAAAAAAACAATCAGGATCCGGTGAGGAGACGTTTGCTGTGTTGCAGCACAGTACTGACCACACACTCAGCAGTCAGTGCTCAGTCGCTGTTATCACAGCGAAAGGTCAAGACGATAAGGAAATGAATTAGGAACAGGCCTGGGCCTGGGCCCGGGCAGGGTTGGGAACAGCCCAAGGGTCTTCCCCTCCTGCAGATGGCTGCCCAGAATGAGCTGGAGAATCAGAACAGTAGCTATTCCCACACCCCCCCGGGGCTAGTTCCCAGCTGTCCCCACCCAGGGCGCCGCCCAACACCCTGGCTCCTGGACAGACAGACAGACGAGCCTCTGTCTCCATTTGGTGGCAGGAATGCATGAGGGACTTGGCTCGAGGCCTGGGCGGGGGTGGTGGAGAGGGTGACAGCCTGCGCTCCCGGCCTCCTGGGACTTGGCAAGGGTGGAACACGTGTGGCCAGTGCAGGGGGACCCCTCCCCAAGGTCGGCCCATGCACCTCACCGTCTGAGGGTCACAAATGCCCGGGACAGGTGGAAGGAGAGGGGTGCCTGTCCCCTAACTCCTGTGCCCTGTGCCTTTTTGCTGGGGGTGGGATGGGAGACAGAGGACCCGGCCTCCCTAGACAGGGTCAGGGACAGAATGAGCCGGAGTCATAGACGCTTGCCCGCGGGGTCAGGCGGTGTCCCTGGTCTTGGGGAGGCTCGGAGGCACTGGGACCACCTGGCTATCCCCACTGGCCTCTCCGTGGCCCCGCAGACCCACATCAGTGTGACGTGATGTCAGCCACACTCCTGCTGTGGCAACAAACCCCGAGTGCCCTGTGCTCAGGCCCCCGCCTGGGGACAGGCATGTGGCTGCAGGGTAGTGCCGTGGCAGGTGGCTGGGGGCAGGTAGGAGCTGGGGAGGGCGCCGACCCTCCTGGGGTCGTGCACGTCACCTCTGAAGCAACTCGCTAGAGAGCCCTGGGGCACCTGAGGAAGATAGTGCTGGGGTGGAGGGGGTGGCATGGTCGAGGGGGGAGGGGGGCCCACCTCTCATGCCCTCAAAGCTGGGTTCCCGCAGGAGAGGCTGTCCCGAGCGTGTGTCCTACCCCAGTGACCATGACTCCAGGACCGGACTGGGTGTGGCGAGGGGCGGTCTCTTCTCAGGTGGGGGGCAGCTCTGCACGTCCTGGAGGTGGGACTGGGGCTTCCGACCAGGGCCAGTGTCTGCTCTGTCCCCACGGGGCCGCCCGCCCCACTATAATTAGATGGAGGAAGGCCCGAGGGGAAGGGCTGCCGGGCTTGGGGCTCCGGGCGTGTCTGCAGTGTGAGGAGTCAGCCTGGCGGGGAGCCAGCCAGAGGAAGGAAGGGCCACTGCCGGCCGCCGAGGGCCTCTCCCCAAGGAGATGCTGCTATTTATACCTCTGCAGTGTGAGGTCACGGGCAGCCTCGTCCTCTTGTGGACGAGGCCGTGAAGGCCCAGAGAGGGCAAAGGATGGCTCACGGCCACACAGCACCCACAGCCGGGTGCAGAGGGGAGCTTGGGCTTCTGACTCTCCGTCCACACCTGGGCCTGAAGGTGGCCCTGATTCTGGCGGTGGGTCCTGTGAGGGCCTGTCCGGCCCGTCCCTCTCACGCTGGCTGCTCCTGGCTCTCCCAGGCTGGGCCCTCACACAGATGAGTAGGTTGCAGCCCGTGGCCGGGCCACCAGAGGCCTCCGTGGTGTCAGCTGTGATGTGACGCTGTCCAGGTCCCCGTGTGACGCCCAGGCCGGGGCTGAGGGTGGAGGCTGCAGGGCCGCAGAGCAGGGCCGCAGAAGGCCTAGCTGCGCGGAGGCTTCTGGGGGAGGGCCCCGGGCTGGAGGGGAGGAGGTGGGTCAGGCTGGTAGGACCTGTGTGCTGGGCACGGCGGGATGGGGGTGGGGCACAGGACAGGCCAAGCTGGGTGAGGAGAGTTGGATCCCCCGTCACCCTGGCCTCCAGCCCGCTGAGGCCTCCCGCACGGGTCTCCCAGGCCGTCCCCCCTGACCCCAGCCCGCTGTCCCCTCTCTGCAGCCGGGGCTGGGGCATGTGCCTGGACGACCCACCCTCCAGGGAGACCATCAAGCTGCCGTCCGTGCTGCCCGGCGTCCTCTACGACGTGCACCACCAGTGCCGCCTGCAGTACGGGCCTTCTTCCGTGTACTGCCAGGACATGGACGTAAGTGGGCGGGCAGCACGCGCCAGCCTGCAGGTGCCCTGGCGCCGCGGTGACACCTGCTGCGGAGGCCACCGGCCCAGCGCTGAATTCCGGGTGGACTGTCCCCGACTGTGGGACCGTGGGCCAGGCCCCTCCCAGAGCCCATCCCAGAGGTGAAACAAAACCTAAGGCTCCGGGGCCTGAAGTGACGGCCACGGGCGTGTTACCCAGACCCCGTGGCTTCCGGCGTGGGCTGGAGACGCTCCCAGCAGCAGAGCTGAGCCTCAGGCCTCCACAGCCACGTGGTCCAGGGAACACAAAGGGGCCACCAGGAGGGGGTGAGAGTGACCCCTGCTCTTTCTGCAGAACGTCTGCCACACCCTCTGGTGCTCCGTGGGGAGGACCTGTCACTCCAAGCTGGATGCGACTGTGGATGGCAGCAGGTGTGGGGATAACAAGGTACAGGTGCCCCGGCCCAGCTGTGCAGGGGGGACCAGGAGGCCAGACTTCCTCTCTTCTGTCCATGCTCAGGGCTCAGCCCCGGCCCCCGTCGGCAGCCTGCAGGCATGGGCTCGACTCCGTGAGTCCCCCAAGTGTCTTCAGCTCCGAGTCGGCCCCTGGGCTCCTTTATTCTCTGCTCTGCTCCTCTGTGGGGCCTGGGCCTTGGGCGTCTAGAAGGGGACCCCCCTCACCCCTTTCATCCTTCCCTTAGCAGTGGTTCTCAACCTTCCTCACGCCGCGACCCTTTAGTACAGTTCCTCATGTTGTGGTGACCCCCAACCATAAAATTAGTTTTGTTGCTACTTCATAACTGTAATTTTGCTGCTGGTATGTGTTAGGCGACCCCTGTGAAAGGGTCGTTCGACCCCCAAAGGGCTCGCGACCCACAGGTTGAGAACCACTGCCATAGAGCCTTTCCAGGCCTTCCCCCTGCCTGTTTCTCACTAGGGTGAGCATGACTGATAGGCCTGGGTTGGTTGCCCTACCTCCGCGTGTCTTGGCAGTGGTGTCTGAACGGGGTGTGCGTTCCTGTGGACTCCCAGCCTGAGGCAGTGGACGGCGGCTGGTCCGGCTGGAGCGCCTGGTCCGTCTGCACGCGGACGTGTGGCGTGGGCGTGCAGAGCTCCGAGCGGCAGTGCACGCAGCCTGTGTGAGTGTGGGGCCCCGCACCGAGCCCCTCCGTCCCAGCCTCCCGCCCTCAGACGCGTCCCCGCGCAGGCTGAGCCCGGAGGGTCCAGCCACCTCCTCGGGCACTTGTAGGAGTGTCCCAGAGGCTGACAGAGTCCCTGCCGCTGAGCCATTGCACAGAGGGGGACACTGAGGCCCAGAGACTGGAGGGACTTATCAGAGCCACACGACAGAGCAGCAGTAGCTGGAGGGGGACAGGAGGGGACAGTGGTCAAGAGCTTAGACCTTAGGTGGATCAGGGTTCGAGTCTCCCGTTCATTCCTGTGTGAGGGCCTGCTCACCCCTTCTCTGGGCCTGTTGCTGAGAAGCTGTGTGATGCAGTCCCAGCAGTGCCCCCAGTGGAGCTGGGATGGGAGCAGCTACCCCGGCCCGGGTGGGGAGGGGTCCTGACCTGGGTGGGTTGCGTCTGCCCACCCGTGAACTCATCAGGACGCTGGGTCCCCTGGGCTGGAGACTCGGAGCAGCCAGTGCAGGTCGCACCCCAGCCTGTCCCCGCCTCTCAGCTCAGAGAGGGCAGGAGACTTGCCCAGGGTCCCCCAGCAGGTGGGGCTGCGGCCAGCACGCCCTGTGCTTGTGCTGAGCCCGCCCCGCTCTGCCCACAGGCCCAAGCACAAGGGCAAGTACTGCGTGGGCGGACGGCAGCGCCTGCGTCTCTGCAACCTGCAGAACTGCCCCGAGGGCCACCCCTCCTTCCGCCACGTCCAGTGCAGCCACTTTGACACCAAGCTCTACAGGGGCCGGTGGTACACGTGGGTGCCCGTGGTCAACGACAGTGAGTCCTGAAGGTTCCCCGGGACTCAGCCCCCGGCGCTGCCCCCCGCTTGGCTGCAGCCTGTCTGTGCTGCTCAGCGGTCTGCCCCCGTGCGCGGTGGAGGTGGTCTTCCCGGTGGCCCGGTGCTCCTGACCTGTCCTCTGTCGCGAACCTGTGCTTGTGCCCCCAGAGGAACCCTGCGAGCTGCACTGCCGGCCCTTGAACGAGTCCTTTGCGGACAAGCTGCAGGACGCGGTGGTGGACGGCACGCCCTGCTACGAGGGCCGGGCCAGCCGGGACCTCTGCATCAATGGCCTCTGCAAGGTGCGGCCACAGGAGGGTCTCCACCGCCAGTCCCGCCCCCGCCCCTCAGCACAGCTCCCCACTCCTCCCGGCACCCGCACCCCTCTGCTTCTGTGCCTCGGCCTCCTCGACCCCTCATCCTCATGGCTGTCGGCTCCTCCCACACACACCTTGCGGCGGCACAGCCCTGGCCGGGCAGCTGGAGCTCGGCGGTGGCCCAGCCTCCTTCCGCTCGGATGACTTCGGGCAGTGGTTTCCTGTGTGACAGAAAGGGGACTGAGCCCTTGTCACCATGTTATTTAAAAAATCTTTTTAAATCCTCACCCGAGGATATTTCTCCATTTTATCATCAGAGAGAGAGGGAGGGAGAGAGAGAGAAACGTCGAGAGAGAGACATCGACTGGCTGCCTCCCACGTGACCCGACCAGGGCCGGGGAGGAACCGCAACCGAGGTACGTGCCCTTGACCGGAATCGAACCCGTGACTCGTTGGTCAGTGGGCTGACGCTCTAACCGCTGAGCCAAACCGGCCAGGGCACTGTCACCGTGTTAAATGAGGTCATTCAGTAGGTCATTCCCACAAGCAGGGCCCGGAACCTGGCAGAGTGAGCGGTGGCGTCTGCTGGTGATACTTAGTCTACCTTCCAGCAAGAGGGCGGCCTGACCTCCCTGCCGGGTCCCACCCTGGAGGCCTGGGCTCCGAGTCGGCAGCAGGGGGCGCTGTGCGCTTTCTGCACTAGTCACCCAGGGGGTGCCAGCTCCCCTGCCTGCTGCCCCTCCCACAGAACCTGCCCCATCTCTGTCTCGTGCAATCTCAGAACACGCCTTCATGGCACAGCCTCTCCGTTTACATCGGAGAACACGGGGGCTCGGAGAGGCAGAGGGGTTTACCTGGGGCCTCCCCTCCCTGTGCTGCAGACCGTGGGCTGCGACTTTGAGATCGACTCGGACGCCGTGGAGGACCGCTGCGGCGTGTGCCGTGGCGACGGCTCCACCTGTCACACCGTGAGCAGGACCTTCCAGGAGGCTGAGGGCGTGGGTATGGGCAAGACCACCTGGAGGCTCGCTGGCCCTTCCCTGTCTCCCCTTGGCTCTCGCTGTCCCCACCCGGCCGGAGGTGGGACGCAGGGAAGCCACCCTGCCCGGTCCAGGTCCCAAACAGAGGAGACACTTGGCCCAGGTCCAGTGACCTTTTCTCACAGGTGTCCCGCCCCGTGGAGCCCTGGCGGGGTGATGCAGCTTCTGGGGAGCTCTCAGCCCTTTCAGAGGGTCATTGCCTTGTTAGGAAGCTTCCGAAACTCCCCAGTTCCACTCCCTCAGCTCAGGGCGTTCGGCATAGGTTACGTGTCGACTGTACCAAGTGAGGGGGACTTGGAAGTGACGCGCTCACCCTGACAGGGTGACAGAGCCTTTCAGCCTCACCCACGCAGTGGAGGGAGGCCCAGAGGGCTCTGAGAGCATGGAGGAAGCAGTCTCTGACCTGGGGAGGTCAGGGAAGACTTCCTGTAAGAAGCGGCAGTGGCGCCGAATCCTAAAAGACTCAGAAAGCAGAGGCATTCCCCACAGGAGAACGAGCTTGTGTGAAGCGGAGCCCAGAGGCAAGAAGGCGCCTGCTCTGCCTGGGGCCTCGAGCGCTTGGCCAGGGAGCTTGGGTCTCATCCCAGAGAAGCTGCCCAGCACGGTGGTTACAGCTCAGACCCCTGCCTGCCCCTTCCACAGAGATGGGCCGGCTCCTTCACCGTCCGGGCCTCAGCACCCCCGTCGGTGACGGGACGGCAGCGATCACAGCACACGGCTGTCGCGTGTGAAGTGCTGGGAGAAATCCCAGGCCTGTGGGAGGTGCTGTGAAGTCAGGACAAATGGGCTGTGCGGAGGCAGGAGGGTTGCAGGGACCCTCGTGGCCCTGAGTGTCGGCCGTGGGCTAGCTGTGTGACAAAGCCCCGCTGAGGGCTCTGGGACAGGGTGATGGGACGTGGTCACGGGGGCAGGATCGCAGGACCCCTTTGGAGGTGTTGGGGACCTAAGACAGAAAGGACCGTCTGCTTCTGGGGAAGCTCAGCATCTTCAGAGCCAGTGGTGGGACCCTTGGTGTGAGCGGGGCCAGCAGGACGAGGGGTGGGCCAGCTGCTCATCCGCCCCGCCCTGCTCCCAGGGTACGTGGACGTGGGGCTGATCCCCGCCGGCGCCCGTGACATCCACATCCAGGAACTGGCCGAGGCCTCCAACTTCCTGGCCCTGCGGAGCGAGGACCCGGGGAAGTACTTCCTGAACGGAGACTGGATCATTCAGTGGCACGGGGACTACGAGGTGGCGGGCACCACCTTCACCTACGCACGCAGGGGCAACTGGGAGAACCTCACGTCCCCCGGGCCCACGGAGGAGCCCATCTGGATCCAGGTACGGCCCACGGCCGGGCAGGGCGGGAGCCAGGCCCCACGGCAAGGCCTGGGGCGGTCTCAGAGCCTGGCTCCGGCCTGGCGGTACTGCTGGGGCCTCTGCCTCGGTTTCCCCACCTCGACAGCGGCCCTCGGTCCCAGGGGTGGTCGCTCTGGGTGGGTGGAGAGGGTGCACCCTGCTCACGGGCCCTGCCCGCCCCCCAGCTGCTGTTCCAGGAGAGCAACCCTGGGGTGCACTATGAGTACACCATCCCCCGGGAGGCCACGCGCCAGAGCCTGGGCCTCCTGCCTGAGTTCTTCTGGACCTACGGGCCCTGGACCGAGTGCACAGTCACCTGTGGCACAGGTGAGGAGGGCCTAGGCCCCGCTCACTGCTCTCCGGAGCCTGGGGTTTTGCTTCTCTGAGTCTCAGCTTCCCAGTCTGTAAAATGGGGCTGCCAGTAGCACATCGCAGGTCCCCGGGACGGGCACGCTAGCAGCAGCAGCACCTGTGGAGCCTGGCCACGTGCCAGGCACGGGCCGAGCCGGCACACGTGTGATCACCTGTCGTTCTCACGCCCGGGCCTCGGGGCAGCTGTGACGTTGCTCCCGTCTACAGAAGCCTGGGGTTCAGAGAGGCCCAGGGAGCTGCCTGAGGCCTCCCAGCTAGGAAGCCCCAACCGCACTCCGCTCCTGCTGGGTGGGCCTGCTCCGGGAGGGCTCTGAGCCAAGTGGGTGGGGCCACGTGTCTGGGTGCCACTGAACCTGTGGCCTCCAGGCATGCAGAGGCAGAGCGTGTACTGCGCCGAGCGGCAGCTGGGGCCTGTGGACGAGACGTACTGCGACTCCCTGAGCCAGCCGGATGATCGCCAGAGGACATGCAGTGAGGAGCCCTGCCCCGCCCGGTGAGCCCCTGACCACTGCCCGCCCTGGCTCCTGACGCCCGGAGCAGGCCCACCTCCAGCCTGGGACGTCCCTGCTCACTCGAGTGTGGTCCCCCTGGGTGAGGGTGGCGTAGCAGAGGGGCTGTGCCCTGCCACTGGGCGTTGGGGGGCCGACCTGGACTTGGAGCTCTGGGGACACGTGCCCGGGTTTAGGCCTGAGCCCACCCGGACCCTGAGCACCTAGGAGTGCAGCCCGCTACACAGAGATGGCACCTGTGCCCCGCAGGTGGTGGGCAGGAGAGTGGCAGCCCTGCTCCAGGTCCTGCGGGCCTGGGGGCCTGTCCCGCCGGGCCGTGATCTGCATCCAGAGCGTGGGGCTGGACGAGCAGAGCGCGCTGCCGCCCGCGGCCTGCGCACACCTGCCCCGGCCTTCTGCCGGAGCGCCTTGCAACCTCCATGTGCCCTGCCCGGCCACCTGGGCCGTGGGAAACTGGTCTCAGGTGAGCGTCAGATGGCAGGGCCTCCCCAGCTCCACATACCGGTCTTGGCCTGCAGGGAGGCAGAGACACCTGCGGGGAGCCCTGACCGCCGGCACCATGGCGGGAGGGGTCCGGAGCGTTCCAGGCCCAGCCTGGCCCTCCACCTCGGGGACTGGGGTGCCTGGTGCACCCCGGCCACAAGCCGTGGTCTGGGGCTCGGCAGGGCCGCAGAGGGCTGGCACTGCGACATGAGCTCCCAGCCTGACCCCTCGCCTCGGCCGTCCCCGCAGTGCTCAGTGACCTGCGGGCAGGGTGCTCAGCACCGAGCTGTCTTCTGCACCAACGACACGGGCGCCCCCTGCGATGAGGCCCGGCGGCCAATCAGCCAGGCTGCCTGCCCCGCGCAGCCCTGTCCACGGTCCCTGAGCACCCTGGACCCCGAAGGCTCTGGCAGCGGCTCCTTCAGCCGAGAGTTCGCCAACGAGGTCGACTTCATCCCCCACCACCTGGCCGCCCGCCCTCCAGCCCCGCCGTCCGAGCCGGCCAGCACGGGCAACGCCATCACGGGCGAGGGCCCCCAGCTGGGCCCACCCAGCCCCGTGTTTGTTGACGACTTCTACTACGACTACAACTTCATCCGGTTCCACGAGAACCTGGCCTACGAGCCCTTTGGGGAGCCCAGCCCCGACCCGGCAGGCACAGGGGACTGGCCGGCCCCATCCCTGAGCAGTTCCACTGAGCCCCCCACAGAGCCTCCCGAGGAGGAGGAGGAGGAGGAGGAGGAGGAGGAGGAGGAGGAGGAGGAGGGGGCACCAGGAGATGGGTCCCCCGACCCTCCGCCCAGCCAGGCCAGCCCCTCCCCAGCCCCCGCTTCGGAGCCGACGCCCTGGAACCCACTGCTCAATCTCTTGTCTGAGGAGGATGCCTTCACGGGGTCCCCCGGCCTCGGGCTCCCCAGCTCACCCTGGCCCACTGCTGCCCCTGCCGACCCAGACGAGCTCCTGGTGGGGGAGCGGGGCCCGAACCAGCTGCGCCCTCCGCGGTGGGAGACCACCAATGAGGTTTCTGAGGATGAGGAGGAGCCCCTGGGCTACCCAGCGCCCCGCCTGCCCCAGGCTCCCGTGTCACCCCCTTTGTCCTCCACCAGCGCCGCCCCCTCTCCCAGCCCTGACTCCGTGGAGCTGTGGCCTGCAGTGGGGGGAGCCCCTCCCACAGCCTCTCCGCCAGAGGCCGGGGACACGGGCAGCTCCCTGGAGCCCGGGCCACCCACACCCCCAGCCCCAGGACTGGCTGCCGACGCCCTGCGGACCCCGGCAGGGTCGGGGGCCCTGCTCCTGACGGCCCCCACGGGCCCAGGGCACAAGCCTTGGGTGACTGCCCTGGGTCCGGGACCCTCGGGCCAGCCTGCGGCACCCCCAGGCTCCGTGCCAGGGTCCACACCGGCCGGGGACAGTCCAGCCGACAGCAGTAGAGCCCCAGAGGCCCGAACTCTGGGCCCCAGCCGGGCCGAGGAGCGGCCGCCTTTGGGCCTGCCACCGACCAGGAACTCCAGCTGGGAAGTGGGAACCTGGACCGAGGCAAGTGCTGGTGGGGGGTCGGGACCTCGCTGCCTCGGTTTCCCTTCTGAGTGGTGGGGGAGAGCGAGGGGCCCGTCTCCCTGTGTCTCTGGGATCCCCAGAGGCCATTGCCGGACCAGCACAGGGGCTGCCAGGAACGTTCCTCTTCCTCAGGCTTGAATGCCCCCAAGGATGGGGAGCTCACCCCAGACAGCTGGGGCAGCCTCCTCCATGGCCCAGGCCCCTTGCTGCCTAGCAGGGCCCAGCGGGGTTCCCGAGACTCACCTGCTCCTCCGGGTGCTGCTGAGGCCCTTCCTCCTGGCCCTCCCCCCGGGCTGCACCCTGCTTTCTCAGGGCCCGCAGGGGTCTGAGCAGCATGAACCCAGCTGCCCCCGCCCCCAGGGTCCCGGACTGTCTTGGCAGGAGGAGGGAGCTCCTGTTTGGGTCCCTGATGTGGGGGTGGGAGGGACAGACTGAGGTGCAGCGAGGAGCCCAGGTGTTCTGTCAGGACAGCTGGGCCTCCCGACTGCCCATCCTCACCATCTCCTTGGGAGGGGGGTGAAGAGCCCATGTTGCAGATGAGGAGACCAAGGCTGGGCTGTGCAGACCCCGCTCCCCTTGGTGGGCCTGACGGCCGGTCCTGCCCACAGTGCTCCACCACCTGCGGCCTGGGTGCGGCCTGGAGGTCTGTGCGCTGCAGCTCCGGCCAGGAGGAGGACTGCGACCCCGCGGGCCGGCCCCAGCCCGCCCGCCGCTGCCATCTGCGTCCCTGCGCCACCTGGCACACCGGCAACTGGAGCAAGGTGGGTGAGGGTGGGGGGCCGGGCCCACGCAGGGCCGCAGGGGGCGTCGAGCTGCAGGCCTGAGCTTCCTGTTCGTTGCGGCCTCTGTCCTGCCTTTGCATCTGCTGGGGTGACCTTCCCCAGACATGTCCTCGCCTCTGTCCTGCCCCCCCCTCGGGACCTCCCTCCCACCGACTCTCCGTCCTGGGGCTGCCCCCTCCCTGGGACTGAGGGCCCGGTGGACAGGGGTGCCTTTCGCCTGCCCTGGGCCCGCTCACCGGGTCACGGCTGTGCACGCCGGCGGGCCCACCTGCCTGTCCCTGCCCCAGTGCTCCCGCAGCTGTGGCGGAGGGTTCTCCGTGCGGGACGTGCAGTGTGTGGACACACGGGACCTCCGGCCGCTGAGGCCCTTCCACTGCCAGCCCGGGCCTGCCCCTCCGCCCGCCCGCCAGCCCTGCGGGGCCCTGCCCTGCCTCAGCTGGTACACCTCCTCCTGGAGGGAGGTGAGGCCTGGGGTCGGGGGTGGGGGTCAGCCCTGCCCTGCCGTGACCCCTGCCCTGTCGTGACCCCTGCGTCCTGCCCCCAGTGCTCCGAGGCCTGTGGCGGTGGGGAGCAGAAGCGTCTGGTGACCTGCCCGCAGCCAGGCCTGTGCAAGGAGGCGCTGAGACCCAACGCCACGCGGCCCTGCAACACCCACCCCTGCACCAAGTGGGTGGTGGGGCCCTGGAGCCAGGTGAGCCTGTGCCCTGGGCGGGTCCCTGTGGCCACCGCAGATGCAGTGGTGGCCAGTCGAGGTCCTGGCGGCTGAGCGGTGGGGGACATCACGGCAGCCTCTGGGCGGGGGTGGGGAGGTCCGGAGCCAGCACCTGGAGCCACCAGCAGCGCCAAGTCCTGGGCAGGAACGCCGGGCCTGTTGGGGGCTCGGAGGGTCAGGACCCTCAGTCCTTATTGGCTGCTGAGTGACTCTGGGCTCAGTCTCCTCATTTGTAAGAGGTCGCGAGGATGCCGCGGAGCAGCCGTAGGGCACGGGGCACAGGGTGGGGCACAGGGCTGGGCACAGAGGAGTGTGTCCCCGCCTGGGAAGAACAGAGCCGGCCTCCTCCCTCCTTGCCCACGGCTGCCGCCAGGCCTCCAGCCCAGACACTCAGGCGCTCGCGTCCCGTGAGGGGTTGCAGCCCGTCCCCTTGCAGGTGCAGCGTCAGGCCAGGGGACGGCCGCCCAGGAGGCACGAGGGGTGGGCTGGGGGCAAGGAGAGGCTGTCAGCCCCTGGTGGGCGATGGGGACACTCAGCCCCTCCTTCCCACAGTGCTCGGCCACCTGCGGGGGTGGCGTCCAGCGGCGGCTGGTCCGGTGCGTCAACACCCAGATGGGGCTGCCCGAGGAAGACAGTGACCAGTGCAGTCACGAGGCCTCGCCGGAGAGCTCCCGGCCCTGCAGCACTCAGGACTGCGAGGTCGCCGGGCCCCCACGTGAGTGTCCTCCCCCCACATAAGAACTCGGGAGACAGGGGTCCAGCTTTTCCTAACTTGGGAGAAACGGGGCGGCAGCCTGAGCCCCCAAGTCGCTGTGCGACCTCAAGCGGGTGCATTCTCCCTGCGTGTCAGAGTGGGTCCCGGGGCGTCCCTGACACTGGAGATGGGACCTGGTGAGCCCGTCCCCGGCTCTGGCCAGAGGAGGACTGTCCGGCATGTGCAATGCTCCCACCCGGGGTCCTGCTCGCTCCCAGCTGCTGGTGGCTTCTGGGCCAGCTGGGTCCTCCTGGAGGAAGGGCCTGAGTCAGAGGTGGCTCTGGGCACACGCGCGCACACACACACACACACACACACACACGCACACTTCCTGCAGCCCAGCGGCCAGCAGTGCTGAGCACAGGAAGCTGCTCGGCCTCCACCTGGCTCCCCTCACAGCTGTGTGGCCTTGGGCTCCTCTTCCTCATCCACAGAGAGCTGACAGCCCATCTTGGGGGTTGGGGGCTCTAGAGGGCTGGTGAAGGGCCCAGGAGGTGCTCAGGGAATGTGGGCGTCTTCCCCGAGGCCGCGGTCACCCCTCCGTGAGGTCAGGAAGCGGTTCCCGTGCTGTCAGCTGTGTGTCCCCAGCTCCTAGGACAGCTGGTGGCCCTGAGGGTCTTGGGGTCTGCCCCGTCTGCCCGAAGTCCTGGCAGAAATGCCACCCACCGGCCCTGCCCGCTGCACCGCGACGGCCACAGCCTCGCCTCCAGGGCGGAGTTGGGTCTCTGCCCCTCGTGCTGGTCCAGCTGGCTGACTCCAGGTGGCGAGGGTCCGGTGGGGGAGGGCAGGCCTGTCCCGGAGCTTCTGGGTTCCTTGGAGGGTGGTCAGGTGGCTGAGGCATGAGCTGCCCCAACAGAGGAGGTCAAGGCTGCAGCCGGCCAGGTGACCCGGATGCCGACACTGGAGTCCCCAGGACGCTGATGGTTCAAGGGGTGGTGTGGCAGGACATCTGGGAACTCCAGGGTGTGCAGTGACCCCAGGGGGGCAGCGGATGGCAGGAGGCTGGGGGCACGGACGAGGAGGGAACCACCTGAGGTCACGCGGCAGGAACAGGACGCCTGTCTGCAGGTGTGAGCCGGGAGCTGCCGGCCCCGGGCATGTCCAGGCTGGAGCTGCAGGCCCCGGGCATGTCCACGCTGGAGCCAGCAGGGCCCGGGGGCAGCTGAGCGCTGTCTGCAGCACCAGGAGCGGTCGGGCTGGAAGCAAGCACTTCCCCAAATAGCTCCCGAGAGCCTGTGCTGAGCCAGCGCCCGCCCCGCCCCGTGCCCCCCCAGGCTGCGAGCAGGACCTGCTGTCTTTCGGCTTCTGTGAGACCCTGAGCCTCCTCGGCCACTGCCAGCTGCCCGCTCTCCGTGCCCAGTGCTGCCGCTCCTGCCCGCCGCCCGGCCACAGCGCCCCCTCCCGTGGCCAGCCGCGGGCCACCCACCACTGACCCCTGCCCTGGCCGGGCGAACCCACAGACGGACCACTGACAGCCGCAGGAACCTCAGTGCCCACCACCTCTTTGCGCCCTCATGGTGCTAACCCTGGCCCCTGCCTGCGGCAGGCCGGGGAACCCCCTCAGAAGAGGTATTTTTTTATTCCAACGGTTTGTGTCACACGTTATTAATTATTATTGTTATCGTTATTATATAAACAAGCATCTACCATGTCAAAGCGCAGCCTGGCTTCCTCTTGGATGGGGGGAATTTCGTGTCTGAAACTGCCCACCTTCCGTCCCTGCCTGAAATGCCACCTTTCCACGGGAGGCCAGCAGGACAGGGGAGCGGCCGAGCGACGCGGGGAACCGGCCCACGCGGCAGGAGGCCGGGAGAGGCCCCGTGGCGGCTGCTCCCTGCCAGGTCCTCAGACCCATGTTTCGCAGGGCGGGGCCACCCTCCCAGCCAGCAAGGCCCCTGTCATCCTCAGGGACAGCCCCTGAGACGATGGGGTCTGCCCCCTCATGGGCATGTCCCCTGTCCCCTGTCCCCCTGCACCGAGAAGGCAGAGCGAGGCCTCACCCTGGGCCCCCCGGGGCAGAGGGAGAGCAGACGGCGAGCACGGCCCTCCGGCCCCACTTGCCTGGCTCCTTCAGCTCCTCGCTCGGGGAAAGTGCTGGGCAGGTCACGGGCCTCACTCCGGCGTCCCCTTCACCACCCAACCCGAGCGGGGTCCTCGCTGCACTGACCTTCCAACCAGCCTCCTGGCACTGCCCCCACCGCCCCGCCTGCCGGACCCATTTCCAAGGGCCAGACTGGCGCTCACACCAAGGAGCATATGGGAAGGGGCCGCACACCGTCCCCCGACCCAGCCGCTCCCCCAGGAAGTGGCCTGCGCAGGCCCCTCTCGGGAGCCTCGGACTGGACCCTTTTATAACCTGCTCACAAGCCCTGGTCTCGAAGGTGGCACCCACCCTTCTCCATAGGGACACTGAGGGTCAGAGGTGGCAGGGCTGAGCACGGGAAGCTGGCCCGGCCTCCGCCTGGCCCCCCTCATCGGAGTGAGTGAGGCCAGGCACTCCTTCAGGGACACCACTCACACCTGTTCCACCTGTCACCTGGGTGGTGGAGCTGGAGCTGTGGACGGTGGCCCCGTGGCCACTCGTGGCTGGTGTGTATTGGGGACAAGGGGCTACTGAAAACCAGTCCTTGGGGACAGACCAGAGGCCAAAGTGAACAGTTCGGCCTCAGAACAGGCCGTGGGGTGGAGGGCTGGCGGGCTGGGCTGCCAGTAGGGAGGAGGTGCCGCTGTGCCCAGGGGCTCCGATCACACACCACCCACTTCACACCAGAAGCCCAAGGCTCTGAGGGAGGCGGCTGGCTGAGGGCACACACCCTGGCCATTCAGGCCTCCAGCCCGACCTCCTGCTGAGCGGTGGCCGTCCCAGGCCAGGCAGGAAGACCACCTGGGCCGCCCCACCGTGGCTGGACTGAGGTCGCTCAGGAAAGCCCATTGCTGGGGACTGGCGTGAGCCCGCACCATGAGGATGGAGGGGCGACAGGCTTCCTGTCTGTCTGCAGACGCCCGGCTGGCCCAAGGAGGCCCTGGGGACCTGCTCTGAGTAATGGCTTCCACGCCGTCCGCTGTCCACGGCCCCTCAGGGGAGGCAGGGAGCAGGGCCTCTGCTTGGGGGCTCCCAACCCACACACGAGCCTGAGGATCCCAGCCCCACCTGCCACTGCTATCGGGCTGGGTGACCCCGGGACCCCAGCCTGCTGTGTGCTGTCCCGGGAGGAGATGGGCTCACCAGGTCCTTGCCTGCTGGGGCTGTCTGGGCATCCTCCCTGCAGCCCCCCCACACCATGGAAGAACATTTGGTCTTAATCATTCTTATGTGTTTTTGTGATGATGGGGGTGGGGCATGATGTCCCCAGTGGCCGCTGGGCCTGAGCTGTCATCCCAGGCAGGAGGCACACAACCCGTGACTCAGGCGGGGCGCCTCACAGACGGTGGGAGGAGGGGTGCCTACCACTCTCAGCGGGGGGGATGCTCCAGCCCCTGGCTCCCCGCCAAGGCCGGGCCCCTGCATCTGGCACCGCTCAGCGGGCACGCCCGAGCACTCGGCCCCAGCTGCAGGGCTGGCTCAGGACGGCCCGGGGTGGGTGGGGGGTCAGACGGACGCCTGAGCAAACCTGTGGGAGCCGTCAGACCCTCACAGGGTGCCGGGTGTGGGGCAGTCCGCGGAGAACGCGCCCGTCCCGGTGTTGCGCCTCCCCGGTGAGGGCCCCTCTCAGTGGACGTGCGACCAGTGCCTGCCCCTCAGCACCTGCAGCGGTTTCATGGACAGATGGGGGTGGAGCCCAAGGCCTGGCTGGGGTGTCCAGCCCCGACCAGACAGCCGTCCCTGGGGGACTCAGCAGAAGCCGGTTCCCCCAACAGTAAGGGGATCCCCTTGCCCCAAGCAGGGACCAGGGCCCTGACACAGGTACAAACCCCAGGGAAGGTGGTGACGGGACAGAAAGGTCCCCAGGACCCCCCAGTCTGTCAGAAAACGGGCCACTGGCTCCTGCTTCTCTTCTGCGCGCAGGCTGTTCAGTCGGAGTTGACATAAGTCAGAACACACGCACCTTCAGCGCTTCTTTTATATTTAAACTCCGGCTCCTTACACAAGCCGACTCCCTCCCAGAGGATCCCCTGCCAGGGGGCGAAAGGTCAGAAAGGCCCTTCACCTGCCCAGATGCCAGAGCAGCTTCTAGAACACATGACGTGGAGAACAGTAAGGCCTGGACAGACGCCCACACAGATGCCCCAGTGTGGGCTGATCAGGTCAGCCTCCGGCTCTGCTCGGCTGCCGGGCTGGGCCCTGGGGACCACATCTGCTTCCTCCCCGCCGCCTTCAGGTGCGCGTTGCTGATGGGCACAGGGCGGTCACGCACTGGCCTGGATGGTCTGTGCGCAGATGAGAAAGTGCCCTGTGCTCAGTCAGAAGACGACGCTGGGTGCACATGAGGCTCCAGAAGTCCCGACTCGGGGACGGGTTGGTCCTGTTTAACCCCACGTCCCCGGGACGCATCCGGTTTGTAGAAACAAACTGCGCTGCAGAATCACTGTTCTCGGAGCTCAGCACACTGGGGCCCGGTCCAGAGGCCGGTTGTTAACAGGGCGCTTGCAGTATTGACGGCCCGGCCGGGAGAGGCTGTGCCGCCGGCTGGGGTGCTGATGCCCTTGGGAACCTTGACTCCCTGGGCAAACTGCACCCAGGCCCCTCTTGACTCGCTCACTGCCGGAGGGCCGGGCAGTGCCGCTGGCTCTGGGAACACGGACTCCAGCTCATCTTGTTGGTTCTGGGGTCTGGGAGGAAAGTCTCCCCGATCTGACAGACCACTGTCCCTGTTGTGTTGTGCCACCTGCAATACCCCTCATGTCCACAGGGTGACAGCATTCACTTGCTTTTCACGAGAACCATGGGTGGAGGCAAAAGGACCGGTGCTGGCGACTGGTGGAGTCTTGATCGGTTTGCAAGTCCTTGAAAATAGTCTGTTACTGTTTCAGCGGGGCCTGGAGAAACAGCCCACCTGATCCTGCCCACGGCCGCTGTACTCGCTGTTCCTCTGCCCCAACCCTCCTCCACAGCTGCTTCCTTAGCACTGGGTCTGGAACAGCTTAAGTCGGGGGGCCGGGCGGTGCCGCTGGCCCTGGGACTTCAGTTAGCTGTGGGTCTGGTGCGTCCAGGAGAGAAACAGGATACACGGGTCCCTCCTCGGAGAGAGTGCGCTGTGCTTCTTCCGTCCTGCCTGGAACACTGCTCACGTCCACGGGGCAGCAGCAGTGACTTTCTTAATAAACAACAGCCCGTGGTTGAGGCAAATGGACAAGTAAGCTGCCAACTCTGCGAGGAACACGGAGTGGTTTCCAGGGGCTCACTTTCCCTGCGCACCCCTCCTTGGGGCCTCTGTGCTGTCTCTCTGGCCTACACCCTCGCGTGGCTGTTAGATCCCGGCTCTGGACTGGCTTAATGTCAGAGGACCGGGCAGTGCAGCCGGCTGGGCGGCCTCTCGGCCCTGGACGTCTGGGAGGGCACTCTTAAATAGACAGCTGTCCAGTTGGCCCCTGTTGTGCCTATTGCAACACCACTCATGTCCACAGGGTGGCACCCTTTACCCGCATTTAAAAACTATCCTGGGTGGGCAACCCCGACAGTCTGATTGTCTCTCCACTAAGAGCCTTGATGGATTCCCAGGAGCCTCGGTGGTAACAGGTGATTTGAGGGGGTGGGCTGCTCTGGAAACCACCCCCCCCGCCCCAGCTCAGGGTCTTGGCACTGCTCCCCCCCCCCCCTCCCCGGATGCTCTTACACACTGTTTACTTAACAGTGACTGGAATGGCTTCTGCCCGAAGGACCAGGCCATGCAGCTGGCTCACAGGAACTGACCTCCGTGTCTTCTGCGGGTTCTGGAGTTTCGGGAGAGAAAGAGACTCCCTTGCTCCTAGTCTGAGGACACGGAGAATTTGTAGATTTGTCCCCATCCTGCCGTCTGCGACGCCAGTTGTGTGCAGGCCTGCCTCCTGTCTGCAGATGCCCGGCTGGCCCAAGGAGGCCCTGGGACCTGCTCTGAGTAATGGCTTCCACGCCATCCGCTGTCCACGGCCCCTCAGGGGAGGCAGGGAGCAGGGCCTCTGCTTGGGGGCTCCCAACCCACACACGAGCCCGAGGATCCCAGCCCCACCTGCCACTGCCATCGGGCTGGCTGACCCCGGGACCCCAGCCTGCTGTGTGCTGTCCCGGGAGGAGATGGGCTCACCAGGTCCTTGCCTGCTGGGGCTGTCTGGGCATCCTCCCTGCAGCCCCCCCACACCATGGAAGGACGTTTGGTCTTAATCATTCTCATGTGTTTTTGTGATGGGGGTGGGGTGGAGTATGATGTCCCCCGTGGCAGCTGGGCCTGAGCGGTCATCCCAGGCAGGAGGCACACAACCTGTGGCTCAAGCGGGGGCTGTGCTGGCCCCTGGCTCCCTGCTGAGGACGGCTCCTGCAGACCCCCTTCCCCCATGGCTCCAGCGCCCCCTGCAGCTGGGCGATGGCTCCTAGGTGCCCAGCACTGCCAGCTGGCAGAGGCCTCCTGCCTCACCCTCGCCAGAGCAAACTCAGGGCAGGGACCTGGAACACCCCCCTGGCAGGGTGGAGAGGTGGAGAGGCCCCCATGACCCTGCCCACCTCCCCGCCCTTGCGGCTGAGCCCCTTACAAGTGAGTGTAACAGGCATTTCGTGTCGGAATGTTATACAAGTTAGTTTATTTTACCTTTTGATATGATAATTCCAAAGCTGAACAGGGAGATGACCATGCAGCACTCTGCGCCCCGGCCAGCACCCGCCTCCCGCCGCCAGGACGCCCGCAGGCCCAGCTGCCGTGAGGGCCGGGAACTGGGCGTCGTACAAACTTCTGTTTATAGGAAAATGGACGGCAGTCTGCCTAGGACACGTCCTACGTCAACGTGACGTGTTGGAACCAGAACTGTCCCTGGTGACCGGTCTTGGCGGCCGCCGGATGCTACCGGGGAGAGAAGGGGCTGTGTGTGAGTGCAGGTCCGTGGTGGTCACGGCTGGGGTCAGGACGGCCCAGACTGGAGAGCAGCCGAAGAGGCTGGGTTCACATAAATACACACAAGGGAGCCATGCACACAAGAACTTGTTATACAAAATAGATGTACGTGATCTCAAAAAACGGTGATAAAAATAGGCTATAAAAATATAAACTGTAGTGAAATATACAAAAGTATTAACAGATGTTCAACCCATAAAAATGAAAGCCCTCACACAAAGCCGGCAGTCCCCACTGTGTGATGCGGGGCTCCCCTTGGCGTGGGGGTGCAGCCAGGCTGGCCGGCACGCCTTCCCGGGCAGCACAGGAAGTGTTGGCTCAACATAGCGGGACTGGACCCGAGAGTTCTGGGGGAAGGAGTCAGCACCATCAGGTCCCAGTCTGGAACCAGGCCAGCACGCCGTGCCCCTGGGTGCGCACCCTGCAGAGGGGCCTCCAAGAAGCTCGCAGCCTCCTCCACCAGCTCAGCCCACACCCACGCCCACGCCCACTGCGGTGCCACGCCGCTGCCGCTCAGAGAAGGGCCGCTGCCTGGACCAGCCACAGCAGGCGCCAGGTGCAGTGCAGGTGCTTTTAAGATGAGTCTTTTCAGGGCAAAATGGACAAAACTAGCCTGGTCCTAAAGGAGGTGTTTTAGCCCAGGACGGGCAGTTAGGGGGAAAGGAACCTGGAAACTGAAGTGTGAGGGAAGCTGGAGTGAGTGATCCATGGAGCCCCGATTCCATCCCCACAGCGCCCGCGATGTGGGCGGTGGGAGCGGGGCGTCTCCTGGGAGAGGGAGTGAGGCTGCTGCACCCCCTCGCTGGACCTGAAGAAGCTGGAACTCAAACCTGCTCCTGGAGACCAAAATGATGAGAGCATTTCTGACACCTGAAGAGACGATGGCTTTTGGCTAAATACACAGACCAGCTCCCTTTACACACTAGAAAGTCGAACGAACCAACTCAGCCAAAGACAGAGCTGAGCTGGGCCTGGCGCGCGGCGAGGGCTGCCAGGAGGCTGCCTGCCACAGACGGAACCGCGCTCGCGACGGCAGTACCTCAGGGACACGGGCCGGCTCTCAGGCTGCGGTGTCTGATGTAGGGCGACTACGACGTTCCGATTTCTTCTGGGTAGAGTAGAAGCTCCATTCAGAATGTCTTCTTTCCCATCCGAATAACAATGTCCAGAAGCACCCTCAAGCCCGCAGCGGGGCGGCCCAGAGATGAGGCGGGACCACCCTCCCAGGGCAGCCTTGCGAGGGCTCCAGAAGGGTGGTGCTGGGGGTCTCCAGAACCACCCACCAGCCTGACACCCGGAGGCTGCGCACCCCCCAGTGAGGCAGGGGAAGGGCGGGGCCTCTGGGGGCAGTGGGCGGGCTTGCCGAGGCTCTGACCCTAAGAAAGACCCCCCAGCCTTGGCACTGGGGCCACAGCCAGGAGGAGGATGCGCCGGGCACACTGGCTATGCCCAGCGTTCACTCGGCAGAGGCACCGCCGTATAGAACTCCCAGGAAAGCTTCCTGTACCCTTGACCAAGGCGGCCCAGGGCCAGCCTGCCTCGCAGGGAGGTGAGCAAGTTTCCCTGGAGTGCCAGCCCGTCGGAGAGTCATCGCTCACACGGACGGAGCGCCTGCCGCAGGGCCTCCTGGCGCCATGCCATCTGCCAAGGCAGCCCGCGAGGAGCCAGGGTGGCGTCAGGGGCAGGCCCGCCCTGAGCAGCTCGGGACCCGCATCTGCAAGGACACAGCGGCTCTGGAACGAGGCGGCGTGGAGCCAGCAGCAGGCCGGGCCTCCACCCGCCATTTCTGAACACAGGTGAGCTGCCGTCCTCAGGAAGTCGCCTCTTCACACTGACCTCCTGCCACTGAGGCCCCGCAGCCGGCCGAGGAGTCTGCGCCCACGGGTGTCCTCCGCGCCCGCTGTGCAGAGAGACGGTGTGGGAGGCGCCCGCACAGGGCACTCGGGGCACAGGCAGCTGGCCGACACTGTCAACGGGCTCGTGAGAGAAGCCGGTCGGCGGGCCTGGCCGGACGCCGGTCTGCTGGAACGCGTGAGGGGCAGGTGGGACACGCGTGGAGAAAGATGCGGAAACGTGTCTCTGGCCGAGGGGAAGTGCGGAGGCTCAGACAGCTGCCCAGCAGGTTTCCGGAGCCCACGGGGTTACGTTCTGGGTCTGAGGAGCAGAGTCTCTGCCGCTCGCACTTTGGCTGTGGTTGTGGGGCGGGGCCGTTCAGGTGTCCTCCTCCTCGTCGCTGACCAGCTCGCCTTTGTCAGGACTGGTGTCCCGTTCGCGCAGGAAGTCCTCCCGGATGGCCTCCAGCTCCGTCAGCTCCAGCCGCACCTTCTCCAGGTGGTAGGCGCGCCGGTTGCGGATCTGGCGCAGGGGGAATGGGTTCAGGTCCCCGAAGGAGATACCGATCAGCTTCCTGGTGGGACACAGGACAGAGCAGGAGTGGGCTCAGGCCCGGGGATGTGGGGAGCAGACCCAGCCCGGGAGGCTGAGGCAGGTGTGTCACCAGGAGGCAGTCCTCATGAGGGTGCCACAGGGCAGCCCTGACAACGGCTGGGTCAGACGCCAGCTCTCCCGCACTCAGGTGCACGCGGCGCGTGGGGCACCACACGTGCGCCTGAGGGCAGAGCGGCACCGGCACCGCTCAGCAGGCACGTCCCAGTGCTCGGCCCCCGCTGCGGGCTGGCTCGGGACGGCCGGGGGTCAGACGGATGCCTGAGCCATCAGACCCTCACAGGTGACGGGTGTGGGACAGGCCGCGGAGAATGCGCACGTCACGGCGCCTCCCCGACCCCACTCAGGGCCCACCCAGGACGCAGCGACAACCTTTCGCAGGCCTGTGTCACTCAGGTAGCCTCTTCATTTGCCTAAACATATGTCACCACCCGTGATAGATCAACAAGCCCAGAAGTATCTTTAAAATCTACTTCACAAGTAAAGATGGCCTCTGCGGTTCGGGGAGGGGCGCCGTCCTCGCTGCCCAGCCAGCGGCCCACAGAAAAGCCGGGGGAGCAGGGCTGCCACAGCTGTGGTCCAGGGCATGCGGGCCCCAGGGGGGCAAAGCGATTCCCAAGCACTGAGCTGCCCAGGCCAGTGCCAGTGTCTTCCACTCTCTCCGATGTGCCCACTCTGCCAGGTCCAAGGGCACCTCCCTCCAGGCCCCGACCTGCCACCTGGTCTCTCCCCTGGCTTGTCCACCGGAAGTGCACAAAGTCTCAGGAAGAAACACAAAGTCCCGGGCAGAGTCCACAGGGCTTTGCCGGCCCAACCTCAATCCCTGACACACGGACACCAGCCGGGCCAAATCGTGTCACGGTCCCCCACACACTCTGCTCCCACATCTCTGTGCCAGCTCCCGAGCCGCCCCTTCCCAGCCCAGGCCACCCCACACGTGCCTGACCCTGGCCTGGCTTCCTCGTCATGGCCCGAGCCCCGCCCCTCAGCTCCGTGAGGACAAAGCTGCCCTCGTCCAGGCAGAGAGCCAGGCCAGGCCTGTCACATGGATCCACCTGCCGCTGTGGTGCTGGGACCTGGGCTGGTGGGACAGAGGGTGGATAAAACCATCTTTCCTCTGCACCCGGGGAGGCTGGGCCTGAGACGGCAAAGGAAGGCCGCTCCCAGGGGCAGAGGTCAGGATCCCTGCTGTCCTGGAGGTCACCCGGGGAGGCTGGAGCCTGAGACGGCAAGGGAAGGCTGCTCCCAGGGGCAGAGGTCAGGATCCCTGCTGTCCTGGAGGTCTGGCCAGTCCCCGGGCACTCACCGAGCGTCGAGGATTGTGCGAGTGAAGTATCGGAGGTACTTGAATATGGACATCGAATCTTGTAATTTCAGGATCTCCTCTTCCTTGTATTTGAAAAGTGCCAGGGCGAAACGGAAGATGACCTGTGGAAAGGACAGGGACTCTGTACGCAGAGAAGCACCTCAGCTCCGGGTGGACAGGCCTCTGGGGCCGGGGGGCAGCCACGTGACTGAGGCGGGGCCCCGGCGGGGGCAGGACCCCATTCACAGAGAAGCGGGTGCTGGAGTCTGCACCACACTGCGGCCCAGGCCGACGTCCCATGGCGCAGGCCCTCTGTGGGCCCTCCCACACGCAGCCAGCCCTCCAGGAGAAGTGCGCAGAACTGAATCCTGTTTAAATGCAGCGAGAACCAGGGTGACTCAAACTCTCGGATGCGCCGTGCCTCCACGCACTTTTCTCTCAACTAGTGACACCAGGGTCTGAGCCACTGACTTCTGAACACGGCGAAAGAGAATAAACAAAGTATTTCTTTTTCCTGATTTGTTTTGGAGACACTGTGTTTGAGGCCAGAGGGGCTGGACTCCTGGTGGGTGGTCTTGCAAGTTTAACCAGCTCAGGGAGAAACCGCCCACACGAGACCTTGGCCTGCCTGGCCAGCCTGCACTCTCCTTCTCTAGAAAGCACTCATCAGGTGCTCTTTCTGCTGACACTCCTACCTGCGGCCCAGAGCAAACACTGTAGGTTCTGGTAGATTCTTTTTTTTTTAATCCTCACCCGAGGATATTTTTCCATTTTTTGTACAGATAGAGTGGGAGGGAGAGAGAGGAAGGGAGAGAGAGAGAGAAACATCGACGTGAAGGGACACATCGAGTGGCTGCCACCCGCACGACCAACCAGGGCCGGGGACAAACTGCAACCGAAGTACATGCCCTTAGCGGGAACCGAACCTGGGTCTCTCCGGACCGCAGGCCGACGCTCTAACCGCTGAGCCAAACTGGCCAGGGCTGGTAGATTCTTTTTAAAAACGACAGACTGAAGCCCTGTGCCGGACAGAGTGTGTGGGACACACTCTCACTCTCCGCTGGGGGGCCGTGACTCAGTGATGCCCTCTGAGCGGTAAAAACTGCAGCCAGGTTCCGCCTTTGACCCAGCACTTCCCCCACTAGGACTAAGCTCACACACGCGTGGAAGGACGGTATCAGGGGCTGTCCACGTGTACTTCTGGCTCATCTGTACAAGGAGATTACTATGCAGAGTCTTTTAAAAAAGCAAATCTATGAGCCCTGATATGGAACCACCTCCAAGATATATGTGTAAAAACCTCTACATTTTAGATATAAAATACTTTGAGAAAGATACGTAATACATCAAGAAAGACCTAAAGACCTCCTCCCTACCACACACCCTTAGTTATGTGACCTCCTCTCTACCATATTCCTTTAGACATACTACATATGCTCAGTTTTATAATTTCAGTTTATCATGTACTAACTTAAAAACTGACTTTTTATAGCCCTGGCTCAGTGGCAAACTGTGTTGGGATGGCTCTGGCCCAGGGCACCCCTCATGTCCCAGGTTTGGCTCAGCAGTTGAAGCGGAGGCCTGCGGATCATAGCCCAGGTTCGGTTTCTGCTAGGGGCACATACCAAAAAAAAGACTGACTTCTTATAAACAGACAGTAGACTGGGTGGGAGGCTTGTGGGCACAGGGCATAGGCTCTGAAGTTGACCCCGAGTCTGTCCCTGGTCCTCTGCGCACTTACCCCTGGGCGTCTACCTTCTTCTCGTCCACACAATGGGGACGCCACTGCCCATCGACAGGATGAGGCTTAGCCTGAAACCTTCAGAGCCCCACAGACAGGACTAGAGTGCCAAGTGTTTCCGATGAACACGCAAATGACTCAGTGGCAAACTGCCGGGATGGCTCTGGCCCAGGGCACCCCTCACGTCCCAGGTGAGCAGGCCACTCTGCCACCAGTGAGGCTGCCCACAGTCAGCAGCGAGCAAACCCACCTTTGGTCCCTCATACAGGAAAGAGTCCCATATTTTGAAGAGGATGTCACTGACGACACTGTCCACAAATACCACCAGAAACCAGTTGAATGTGATGAGGGTGTAGTCCACTTTGTACTGTTCGAAGTGGGCGTGCAGCCGTGGCAGCTTCTCACTCATCAGGTCTCTGAACACCCGCTGGTCCACCTGGGCAGGGGCAGAGGGCAGAGGAGGGTCATCAGGCAGCCTCGCCCGGGGCACAGACTACAGAGCTGGTCTGCAGGGCTGGTCAGTCCCTACTGGGCTCTAATGGTCTGCCAGACCAGGCGCTGAGTGAGCCCTGCTGGCACGCGCTCGCTCAAGGACAGTGGCCAGTCTCCAGGGCTGCCCTGCCTTGGACACCCCCTCGGGCTAATCAGTCTCCAGGGCTGCCCTGCCCTGGAAACCCCCTCGGGCTAATCAGTCTCCAGGGCTGCCCTGCCTTGGACACCCCCTCGGGCTAATCAGTCTCCAGGGCTGCCCTGCCTTGGATACCCCCCTCAGGTCAATCAGTCTCCAGGGCTGCCCTGCCTTGGACATCCCCCTCAGGTCAATCAGTCTCCAGGGCTGCCCTGCCTTGGACACCCCCCTCGGGCCAATCAGTCTCCAGGGCTGCCCTGCTTTGGACACCCCCCTCGGGCCAATCAGTCTCCAGGGCTGCCCTGACTTGCTTGCCCCCTTGGGCCAACCAGGGCTGACACGAGGCCCAGGAAGCCCCGCCAAGGCCGAGTTCGGGTCACATTTCTGCTCTGTCTTCGCAAACGGCCGGAAGCAGCGCAGCGCGTCTAGGAGTACCTGGGACCCTAGAAGAGTCTTCGTGTAGTAGTCTCGAGGCATGAAGACCTCCACGATGGTGACCAGGCACCAGAAAGCGTCTTCTTGTTCCAGGTACAGGAGGGCCACTGCCACCAGCCTGCAACAGACAGAGGACCAGGTGGGCACCCGCACATGCCGCTGCCCCTCAGGGCTGGGCCCCACAGCTCCCCAGTGAGCAGTAGGTGCACGTCCCGCACCAAGCAAGGCCTTTCTTACAATTTAAGAAGCAAAGCTCACTTCTTCCCACTTCATTTGAAAAAACATACATATATATTTCTTTTTAAAATATATATATATTTTTTTGCTTTGTAGAGAGGGAGAGAGAGAAACATCGATGTGAAAGAGACACATTGACTGGCTGCCTCCCGCACGACCCTGACCAGGATCAACCTGCACCCTGGGCGTGCGCCCTGACCGGGACCGAACCAGCGACCTTTTGATGCCCTGGATGATGCTCCAGCCAGTGGAGCCACCCGGCGGGGCCATTTTGCTTTTTGTTCAAAGGTGATGAAATTGTTTCCCAATGATCAACCAGCCTCATTAAAAAACCTCTTCCACCTAAGATTTTTGCTGGTGCAACTCATTCTTTGAGGTGATTGTTCAAGAAGTTCCAACGAATCAATCCCTTCATGCACAACTCCAGGGCTGACGTTCGGGACAAAGGACACGTGACGGTCTAAAGCACCTTTCAGGCCGTTCTGCTCAAGGGGCTTCCGACAGTGGACCTTCGAGGGTCAGCATGGGTGGAGCATCGGCGGTTACAGAGTCACAATGGGAACTTGGGCCTGGCACTCCTGTTGTGACGCGTCCAGAGGTCACTAACCCAGTCATCCCCGGTGTGGCTCTGAGGGCACCAGCAGCCCCAGGGCAGAGGACGAGAGGCTGAGGACGAGGAGCCCTCCACGCCTGAACTCCGGAAACAGGCCCATGAACCACTCTCGGGGAAGCCCTGGGAGCCCCTCTCAGACTGTTTCACCCTTAGGTGGAACTGTGATGAAGTCGTCTACAAGGAAAAGGTTATTAAAACGGAAAGAACTGGGCCCTAGCTGGGCAGCTCAGTGGCAGCTTGGGTGGCTGGAGCGTTGTCCCAAATACAAAATGGCTTCAGATCTGACCCCTGGTCGGGACGTGTATGGGAGGCAACCAATCCATTCTCTCGTTCTCGCGCTAGAATCAGTACAAAGTGGGATGAAGGCCTGCGTGGGATGGAGGGTAGAAAGCTGGGCACGGGCAGCGATGACGAGAGAAAAGCAGGACAGGCGAGCACAGGACCAGCCCCCTGACCCCGAGGACGCCGGGAGAAGGGTGACGTCTGAAGGCAGCAGAGCCTTTGCGGATGTTCGAGACGACAGGCCCGCGTCACTGCAAAGGGCCAGCGGTCTCCCAGGAAAGCTCTGCGCTCTGGGGGCACGTACAAAATGTGTCGGATATTCTCAGGAAAGGGTGAGCACTCAGAGGCCCCAGTGGTGATGGGGCAGGAGGTGCAGAGAGAAAGTCTCGCTTCTCGGAGGCTTTACGTATGTGGAAGAGCTGACTGCGGCGATGCAGGCAGCTGGGGTCACGGGGCCACACACAGGTGCGCTGGGACCCCGCGGGTCCAGAGCTTTACGTATGTGGAAGAGCTGACTGCGGCGATGCTGGCAGGTGGGGTCGCGGGGCCACACACAGGTGCGCTGGGACCCACGGGTCCAGAGCTTTCAGCCTGCAGGGACTTCAGACTAAGCACATGAGGTGAATCAAGCAGAACGAGACGCTTCATCACGCAGTGCTCGGTACGGCCTTTTCTCCTAACGGGACCAGGAGGAGCAGCCCAAGCCCTCTTGCAGGACGCAGACGCCGCCCTGTCCCAGCCCCACAGAGGAACAGCTTCCTGGAAACGACCTGCTTTCGGGTCTGAACAGTAACAGTCAGTGCAGCCTCCTTCCTGCAGCACTCATCTCGGCCGCAGACGGACGGCCCCCCTGCGGAGGCCAGTGCTGGGGCGGGTGGGGATGAGGGGCCGTGAGCGGCTGGAGCGCTGGTGTTCAGCACTCAGCCCACGCAGGTGGCTTACAGGGCAGCTCCTAAGAACACGCATCCTCACACCTGGCACCTGCCTTCACGACGCCGAGGACTGAGTGCACAGCTGTGACGCAACAGTGAGGCACAGGAACACACAGGGTGGGAGGCGGCACAGCGGAGTCCAGCGAGGGCGCAGCTCACAGGAGAGCGCAGGCCCCAGGCCTCGCCCTGCCCCAGCTCAGCTCAGAGTGGCCGCAGCAGTAGGAAGAGACCGGCCTTCAGAGCCCTGCCTATGGAAACAGTGGACGGCTGGGGTCCACAGAAAAGCAAGTTCGGGCTCTTCAAGGGCTAAGCTTCAGCCACCTAGAGAACTGGCTGGGCAACTTTTTTCCCTAAAATTTTAAAAAATTGGTTTAGAGACAGACACCCGACATTCACTGGCTGACTCCTGCACATGGCGATAGGACTGAACCTCAGACCTGGCACATCGGGATGACCCCCGACCAACCGAGCCACCCAGACGGGGCCAACTTCTCGACTCACAAAGATCTGTATACACAGGCGGCCACGTTTCCCCGTCTGGCATGAGGAACAAATGCAGTCGCACTTCTGGTCAAAGCCCGAGTGTGACAAGAACCATGAGGGAAAAGAGGGAAAAGCAGTGGTCTCAGGGCAGCTGGACTGTGGTGCGTCTGTCCCTCTCAATCACACTAGAGCTGGGGAGACCACCCGAGTGAAAGTCCCTTCCTGCTGCCCCTTCTTTCCATCGCAGTGTTGGCTTTTCTTGGCTGGGCAGGAGGGGAGGGAGCGGCCAGCAGCCTCTGCCTGATTGTGCTCATGGCACGTGGGCCCTGAGGCCAGCACCCACCTGTTCAGGCCCTGGCAGTAGCCGATGTCCGGATTCCGCCAGGAGAAGGCCAGCAGCACGCTGCGCAGCTTCTGCACGCCCTCCGAGGTGGGGCACGCGTAGTGCTTGTTGTTGGGCAGTGTCCGCAGCAGGTCCAGCTCGATCTGCTTGGAGGCCGGGTTCTGCTTCTCCAGCGCCTTTTGCAGCAAGGTCTGGAAGTAGCCGGGCTCAGTGCCGTCCTTGAACTTCCTGGTGTGAAGGTCCACACACCACTTCCACACCTTGGAACGGTGCTCGTGGGGAATGCCTGCCCGGATCAGGTTCTTCAGTTCTGGAGAGCACACCATCTCCCGGTTCATCGTGCTCGCAAAGTAGTTTTCCCACTTGACCCCGGTAGAAACCTCCTGGTTTTCTGTGAGGTGGAGACTCTTCAGGTCCAACGCTCGGACTTTGGCCACCAACTTCTCTTCCTCGTCATCCTCAGGGACAGTCCTAAAGCCATAGATGTCATACTCACTGTGGAGGAAACAGAAGGGAAAACTGAGCGATGTCATCTTGGCAGAGAGAGAACTGAGGGTGAGCTCAGGCATAACTGGCACCTTGACACACAACCAGGCGTCTCACGCAGAGAGCAGACAGACCCCTCCGTAAGCAGGAAGAGGACAACGGCCTTCTGTAGGGGAAAGTTTAAGTGAGGTCTCTTCTTGATACCGCCCAGGAAAATAATTAGTTCTAGATGGTCTAAAGCAGTGGTTCTCAGCCTTCCTAATGCCGTGACCCTTTGATACAGTTCCTCATGTTGTGGTGACCCCCAACCAGAAAATTACTTTCGTTGCTACCTCATAACTGTAATTTTGATACTGTTATGAGTTGCCATCGGAAACATGTTTTCCGATGGTCTTAGGCGACCCCTATGACAGGGTCGTTCAACCCCACAGGTTGAGAACTGCTGGTCTAAAGCCTTAAATGTGAAAAGCACAGAAAATACAAGCAATGACACAGAAACAAGGCTAACGCGTTTAGCTACAAGAACACGCGTGTGTGTGTGTCTGTGTGCGTGTTTTATATCACACGTATGTATGCGTAGCTTTTATGTTTGAAAAGTATCAGTTTCACAAGATAAAAAGATGCCCGCAGTGGACTGAGCACTGTCCCATGGACTGGGAGGTCCCGGTTCAATTCCCAGTCAGGGCACATGCCCCGGTTGTGGGCTCGATCCACAGCAAGGGGTGTGCAGGAGGCAGCCAGTCGATATTTCTCTCTCTAAATAAGAAGGTGAAAAGACAAGGGAGGAAAAACGTGTGTAAGGTATTAGGGGTGAAGAGACCGTGGTCAGCAATATGGCCACGCGGAGACATCCACGCCCACGTCTGCTTCTCCAGCGCCTGTGAACCTGTGAACATGCGACGTTACGTGGCGGATGGGATGAGCGACAGAACCTGAGACAAGGAGGTTATCCTGGGCTGTCTGGGGGCCCGATGTCACCGGGACCCCTCGGAGCAGAGGAGACGAGTCGGCCAGAGCGCCGCAGCGATGGGACAGGCACAGGAACGTGGAGAGAGGCACTGGGCCTTGAGGAAGGAAGAAGGGGCTGCAGTCAAGGGCACAGGTGGCTCTAGGGGCTGGGAGTGGCCACACCTGACAGCCAGCAAGGAAACAGAGACCTGGTCCCACAACCGAAAGGAAGTGTATTCTGCCAACTTGAATGGCCAAGGTCACAAAGTGTCCCTGGAACTTCCAGAAGGAAGGCACCCTGTGGACGCCGCACTTTTCACCCGCGAGAGCTGTGTCGACAGCTGCTCCTGAGCGGTGAGATCATAAACACGTCTGCTTCGAGCGCCACGCGTGTGGCAGTGTTACAGCTGCCACAGAGCAGCTGCACAGCGGCCCTTCCCACGCGGCTGCACGTGAACCCACACAGCACTTGGACGTGTGCACAGCTGAAGACATGCCCTCCCGGGGGTCAGGTATCCATTCTGGCCACACCCAGGGAGACTCTCTCAGGTGGACACATGGACACACGGACATGAAGTCCAATCGTCACGATCTGTGACAAGGCCCAGGAGGAAGCAGCGCAGCCGTGTGGCTCGCAGAGCGACGGCGTGAGCAGGAACAGCGTGCAGGACAGCAGTCACCCAGACAGGGTTAAAAAATAGTGCTGAAATAGTCACAAACAGATACAAACATGGTGGGACGAGTGTATTACAAGGTGTCGTAAGAAAGGCAGGAAAACAGCACAACACAAGGTGTCAGCAGCCAGCAATGCACACCGTGCTGAAGGGGAGGTGACACACAGCACTGGCTTAGAAGTTTCCAAAAAAAGCAGCTGTGGGGGACGAGACAGGACCACACACACTGCTAAGTGCTAAAGCCGGTCACAGTTGCCCATGGGGTGCTATGTGATCCCGTCCACTACTTGGTATGCTCAACATTTTCCGTAACAGAAAGTTAAAACAAATCAATATGCAGTCATTGTTCTACGTCTACGCAAAGTTTGAAAACATACAACACAGTCGGAGCCCAAGACGCACGTGGGAGGAAGCCCGGCGCCCGGGAGCAGCTGGCCGGAGGCCCTCACGGGAGTTCACCGCCAGCAGGGCAGCAGTACCCGGCTGGGGTCCCTCCTTGCCACTCAGGGCCTGTGTGACCTGGGCAGGGATGTCACCGCCCTGACCCCAGCTTCTCTGCTGTGAACTGAGGATAGAAACAGCACCTCACCAGCACTAACTGCGGGCCTGCATGTAAGATGCTTCCACAGCTCCGGACTCGGTAAGAACGAAACACTGGTGTTGCCCGATTCTGACAGCACCTTGGTAACTGTCATCTGAACGGCCCGGCAATGTGGCCCAGGGCTGTGAACATGGACATGGGAAAGACCAGCTGCCTACAGTCTTCACCTGGGCCAAGGTGAAGCAGGAGAGGGGTGACTGCAGTGAGCAGGGCCCAGACGAAGAGCTGAGGGGTCTGTGGCCGAGGGCAAGGGGGCAGAGGCAGGACTTGGACCGAGGGAACTGCAGATTTCTCCTGGCTCCAGCACTTCCCAATCTCATGTTTCAGAAACTCAAATATGAAGGTTCTCAATCTAAGATCCCTCACAGCCTATAGCCTGTGACTTTCTGAAAATGTGTGCGGTACTGTGTGTCCAGGTGTACTGTGGGTGAGCCCGCAGCCTGCATCGGCCCTCAGGGACTCTGAGCTGCGGCCTGGGCATCCAGCTGTCTCCCTTACACAGGGCTATGCTTTCGGACCACAGGTGGGTGCAGCTGGGCCTCAGGGGAGGGCCCTCTGCCCCGGAAGCATGACTCCTCCTGCAAGGGAACCGGAACCCAGGCTACCGTCCACCCTGGCATGGAAAACTGGAGACAGGTCTCGGCATCAAAAGACCTGGGCTGAGTCCCAGCTCTACGACTTGGTTCTTCTAGTAAGAACGATGAGATTATCTGCTCTACTGCCTGGACGGGACTTGTCATGAGCATCCAATGGGGCGCAGTCACGTCAAGTGCTCTGTGAATCGCTGCTGCCTCACACCCCACGCCACTCGCTGGTGCCGTTACCTGACAAGATGAGGCTTCACAAATGCTTGTTCCGGCTGCTCTGAGCCCTCGACCTGCAGAGCGTCCTCCAGCAGCTGGGCTATGACCTCCCGGGCAGGCCCCTGTTCTTCTGAGCACACAGGTGTCTTCATTTCTTGGAGCAAGATCAAGTACTTACTTTCTATCTGGCAGAGCTTGGCTTCCAGGCTCGAATACTGCAGAGAAAGTGGCGGTTACCTCCATCCAAACAGAGATGCAAGAAAAGCAAGCCTTAGTCACTTCCACTGTCAATGAATGACAAGCCCCAAAAATACCAGGAAGTGAGCCAGAGACACTAAATCAAAGAGAAGAGACTAATTTATGCCACAGGCCACCTGTCATGTTTCAAATGACCTGCCATGGGCCCCCCTTCCTTCTATGGGGTCTGGCATAGAAGAGGTACTGATAATGACATCCGGATGCCAACACAGGGGTCAGCTGCGGACCGGGGTGAGGTGAGCCACAGAAACCAGGCCACATGCCATTACAGAGGTCAAGCCGCGTGCCACTTGGCACATGGGCCACGAGCAGCCTCCTTCTGCAACATCAGCACCTTCTTAGGACAATGACCCAGGAGTAGCTCCCAACTGCCACTTCATCAGGCAAATCAATAGCACCTCGGAGATCACGCAGAACAAGGTCTGGGTGCCGCTCCGAGCATCGTGCAGAAGGCAGACACGGCACACGGCAGTGGTGGACACACTGGCACTGAACTTCACTGGACGCTAACTGCAGTGTCTGTGATGTCCGTACACTTTGCAAAGCCCGTTGCAACCACAATCACACCTGACCCTCACACCAGCCCTGTTGGGCTCACCGAGGAGGCATTACCCTCACCACCCTCACCACCCCCATGGCAGAGAAGAGATTCACCTAGCACAAGAGCATCAGTCAAAAATGACTTTAATTTGGGGACTTGGAACTATCTAATGTTCTCTGCAAACTCTGTCATGTGCGATGGAAGCCACCTCGCAGGCAATGCCTCCTGTCCTCACCCAGACGCAAGCACAGTGCCCAGCGTCACGCACTATGTGTCACATGTCGGTGTCTGTGATCGCGTCCCTCCAGCACACGCACTGAACTGGTTTTCAGACATGCCCATTTCTAGATGGCTCCCGAGTCACACCCCCACCAGGTAACAGACTACATCCACCCTGACCCACCTTGGCCATCAGATCCCTCTCTCTCCTTTCCGCATTTCTCCGAAGTGCCGACAGTTCCAAAATTTCCTTATTTAGAAATTTATTTTGGGTTTTGTACCCCTGCAGATTATCCTGTTGAAAAAGCAAAACAAAACATCAATTCACACTTGGCTGAATGTTGACTAATCATTCAATACAATTTGTATTTTGCTGTCTCTCCAAACAGCTCTGCTAGGTTACAGTGAGCTCTGAGGACCCGAAAGGTGGGGATCAGGCACTTCCCGATGAGTCCCTGGGCCACCACGGCAGCAGGAGGCAGGCAGGGACCCCTGCTGTGACAAAGGAGGTGGGGAATGAATTACTGTGGAGATTTTCCTGAACCAGCCACAAAGGGGCATAGCAGAGCCTCCGTGGTTGCGGGGATGGTTAGGCTAAAGAAACGCTGCCTCAGCTGCCTGGAGGCTGCAGGAGAGAAATGAAAGTGCTGGGAGCACGTCGGGGCGGCCTTCCTTTTCCAAGGAAGCTCTCCAGGCAACGAGGGATTATCGACGCAGCTCCCGGAGGCCAGCAGCCCCAGCGTGACATCGAAGACAGACTGTTAGGGGTTTGGGGTTTTCTGGTCCCGGTGGTCAGGGCCCACGCCTCTCTCACCTTCAGTCTGTCCAGCTCCAGCTGGTCCCTGCTGGCGGGGCCGGCGGTGGGCGAGCCGGGGGCCCAGGTGGGCGACGCCGCGCTGCTCTCGCACTCGCTGAGCTGCCGCGACAGCTTGATGATGACCTCGTCCTTGGCCTGGATGGTCTCCATCAGCATCCCCAGCTGCTCGTTGAGCTCGCCCACTTTACTCTTCAGTGTCCTCACCTCCTGCTGAAGGCTCTCTTTCTCCAGGTTGAACCTGTCCAGCTGGCTGGCTAGGCCCAGAATCTGGTCATCCTTCTGGTGCAGCAGCTCGAGTGTGTCCTGTGGGACCCCATCACAGAGCTGGCTGCTCGTGAAATACTTGTCATACTGGGACGACCGCACCGTCTGTTGCAGCAGCCGCACAAGCTCCTGGAGCCAGAGCGGGAGGGGGGGGGGACATCGTCACAAGTCTCCATGGAGCAACCACTGGGATTTGAGGAAATGCAGAAACTTCACCGGAAACATTTTAATACCAAACTTCCTCTTGAAGGAACTCAAAAATGAAAAGGAAAGAAAACTTACTCCAGAAAGACTGTGAGCAGAGAACAATCAGAGGAAAGAGGAAATAATGGGCGCACGTACGGTAATTAGCAATGGTTCCGATGAACGCGCACCAGGATTAAAACTGTGAGCCCTAAATAACTGATTCACTGGCCTGCCGCGCAACGAAGGGTAGTCGTTAAGTCTGATTAGCTAAGAAGGAAAGTGTTGTTTAACAGGATGTGGAAAATCTTCTAACAACTGTTCACAGGCTCTGGGCTGAAACAGTCGATGTCAGGCCAGGAGTGGGTGAGGGGCAGACAACTCCCTCCTCTGACCACTCGAGGGGTCTGCACCCTCCTTGAAAATTCAAATGTCTCTGAACAATGATCAGGCACAGTGGCAGTGCCCAGGACAATGGCCATGGCAACATAAAACTTAGGGTCCCGGCCTGATGATGTGGAACGAGAGAGAAATGCAAAGGAGAAAAGGTACCTTCTGCGTGGACAGGTCTTTCTTCAAGCATTCCAGTTCCTCCTGCTGGCTGTGCACCTGCGGCCGCATGGCGGAGGCCAGCCTGCTGGCGCCACCACTGCCCGACGTCCCCTCAGTAGCAGGGTCCCCGCTGCTGTGACGGCTTCTGTACGACCCAATCATGTCTCTCAAAGGGCGCTTTCCTTTGTAGGGAACGCGTACCGAATCAAAGGAAAAGCCTGAGCCAGTCACTCCTACACAGAAACAGAATTGTTTTTCAAGAGGGGCCAAATCTCCCCTTTGGGAACTCCGGTAAAACGTCAGGCTCTCGCCTGTCACCGCCGGAGTAGCCTCGGCCCTTCTCACTCTTGACCACGACCACGCCTGAGCGGACTCGCTCCCTGCCAGATGCTTCCTTACAAGACTCCACCACGTGACATTTCAAGATTACACTGTCATCCAATTGCTCAATCTTTGCCTTAAGACAGATGGAGAAAGCACTAACGAGGAGTCGATGATAAAACAGTACTATGGCTCTCCCAACATTCTATGGGAATGCCAAGTTTATTTTCCAAAATCTATTTTCAAAAGCTCAGTGCTAAAACTCTATGTTCACATCCCCATCATCCCATTTCAGGTACTTTGAGGACCAAAGGAAAGAGTGACACGGGCCAAGGCATCGTGGGTTCTGCGGCGCCCACAGCGTCCTGGGAACACAGTCTCCTTCCCCAGCACACCTGTGAAGTGGATGGCAGGTTCCAGGGCAGGATTCAGATGTACTAGGGAGCCTTGGCTTCTAACTTTGCTAAGTTGTCCTTAGTAAAAATAGAAACAAAAAACCCCCAAAGGTATGTAAAGATTATAAACTTGTTTTATTTATTGATTTATGTTTAAGCAAGGCGAAAGTTTATTTGAAAGATAGATAGACTCCCCACTTGGGGAGGGGACCCAAGTGGGTTGCCCTATAAACACTTTAAAGCATGACTATTCTCTTCCTTGAAAACTGATATTTAAGAATACTGAGGAGTCTAAATAAATTTTAGTGTAGAGGGATTCAAATACACATTCAACATATAAAGGGGGGACACACATACTATATAGAATCCATTTATATAAAGTTAGAAAACGAGCAAAATGAACCTACGCTGTGTGCTGAGGCCCTGTGAGTTACGGATTTGAACAGGCCGACAGGTAGGCTGACATTTAAGGAACAATTGGGAAATGAGATAATATTCAAGATTTCCTATAACTGTTTTTAGTTTCAATAATAAAGCTGTGGTTATAATTTTTTATTTACTTATTTTATTATTATCTTTAATCCTCACTCAAGGATTATTTTCCATTTATTTTCAGAGTGGGAGGGAGGGAAAGAAAGAGAGAGACAGATACTGATGTGAGAGACACTGACTGGTTGCCTCCCACAGGATCCTGACCAGGGCCGGGGACCAAACAGCAACTGAAGTACTTGCCCTTGACCGGAATGGAACCTGAGACGCTTTGGTCTGAGGGCCGACACTGAAACCGCTGAGTCAAACTGGCCAGGGCTGTGGTTATAATTTTTTAAAAGAGTCATTATCTCTGCCTGGCCAGTGTGGCTCAGTGTATTGAGCATTGTCCCATGGACTGAGAGGTCCCAGTTTGATTCCCTGTCAGGGCACATGCCCGGGTTGTGGGCTCGATCCCCAGTAGGGGGCGTGCAGGAGGAAGCCTATCGATGTTTCTCTCTCTTTCCCTTCCTCTCTAAAAAATCAATACATATATATATATATTATATATATATACTATATATAATATATATAAAATTTAATCCTCTCCCGAGGACATTTTTTCATTTTTTGTTCAGATAGAGCGGGAGAGACAGAGAGAGAGAGAAACATCGACGTGAAAGGGACACATCGAGTGGCTGCCACCAGCACAACCCAACCAGGACAGGGACAAACTGCAACCGAGGTACGTGCCCTGGGAACCGAACCCAGGTCTCTCTGGACTGCAGGCCAACGCTCTAACCGCTGAGCCAAATCGGCAGGGCAATAAAACATATTTTAATAAATAAATAAAAGAGTCACTATCTTCAGAGATGATGCACACTACAACATTTAGAGGCAATGGATTGGTGCATAGAATTCACTTTGAAATCCTCTAGCTGACAGTGGGTGCAGAAGAGGCAGGAGCTTCGAGGAAATACAAGAGGCCACAAGTTCAAGGCTGGAAGCTGGGCGGTGGGTGCTCCAGAGCTCCTAACACGATATAGTCTACGTCTGTGTTCATGTCAAATTTCTACGAATGACACGCTGTTGTTTTTAAGTCAGTATTTCTGTAAAGAGTACACGGATGTCCTGTCTCCTAGAGTTCAAGAACCATGGGACTGGACAGTTATTTATTTCTTGTAACATCTAATCTTTCAGGCCCCTATGTCTCATCCCCACAATGGGAATGCACACTCCCTGCCCCTGAAGGGTCTCTCACGTCCCTGGGTTGGCAGACGGCAGTGGAGGGAATGACAGAAACAGAAGCCAAGTCTGTACCTTTGTTTCCTTCGGGCATCTGCTTCCTCCTCTCTTCTTGGACTGCGGACTCCTCCAGGTCCTTAGGGCTCGGGTCTAGGAGCTCCCACTCGTCACTGGTATAAAACACACTCTTCCGACTATCATGCCCTTTCCCAGGGCGAAAAGAAGACATTGAATTTCTATTGGGAAAAATGAAATATGTTATTTTTTTTTAAATGTAAATAAAACATAATTTCACACATATGGAGTTAGCAAAAATTAAAAGATGTGCTACTATCAAATGCTGGTGAGGATACTCACACCCTGCTGGTGAAAGCATACATGGGTGCTATCACCATGGAGACTAACTCAGCAATATACAGTTAAGGCAAAGGTGTCTACCCCAAGACCCAGCACTTACTAAATAAGGTCTCGCACAAGAGCCACGAGCAAGAACGTGCATTACAGCTCTGTTCTCACCAGCCAAAAAATGGGTAACAAACACCCATCAACAGGGACACTGATGCACTGAGCCACATGCATATACTCCAAGGCTATATATCGTTTAAAATGAATGAGTTCATTCAACAAATATTCACTGTGGGCCTGCTCTGTGGCAGGTACTATTCTAGGTGTTTAGGGTAAGACAGAGAACAAAACAAAGATTCTTATACTGGTAGGATGCATTTTCTAGCTAAAGCTACATGTATCATATGGATAAATATTTTTAAAATGCTAAAAGAAAAACAGTTAAAAAAATGACATATATAAAAAAATATTTTTTTAAATCTTCAAGATAATGCTATTAATAGATATTTATAAATAGATATATATGTAGTGAAACTAGTTTAAAAATCCACACATGAATGATATTATCAAAAACAAATACTGTTGTTGTTTTTTTTAAATCCTCACCCGAGGACATTTTTCCATTTTTTGTTCAGATAGAGTGGGAGAGAGAGAGAGAGAAAGAGAGAGAGAGAAACATCAACATGAAAGGGACACATCGAGTGGCTGCCACCTGCATGACCCAACCAGGGCCGGGGACAAACTGCAACTGAGGTACATGCCCTTAGCGGGAACCGAACCCGGGTCTCTCTGGACCGCAGGCCGACGCTCTAACCGCTGAGCCAAACTGGCCAGGGCAATACTGGTGTTTTTTAAATGCAGCAGAAATATGACAAAATTATACAGCATAGTAGTGACTACCCAGGTAATCAAACTACTATACTCTATACTTATCCATTTGCTAAAATTATTTCATTAAAACTTTTATTATTCTATTTAATAATGTTTATTTATTTATTTTTGTTACAGATGTTTCTCCTTATTAAAACTTTTAGAGCCCTGGCTAGTTTGGGTCAGCAGTTACAGCGTCGGCCTGCGAACCAAAGAGTCGCAGGTTCGATTCTGGTCAAGAGCATGTACCTCGGTTGCGGTTAATCCCTGACCCTGGTGGGTCGTGCAGGAGGCAACCAGTCAATGTGGCTCTATCACATCAATGTTTTTTTCTCTCTCTCTCTCTCTCCCTCCCTCCCACTCTACCTGATGAGCATGTATCTCGGTTGCGGTTAATCCCTGACCCTGGTGGGTCGTGCAGGAGGCAACCAGTCGATGTGGCTCTATCACGTCAATGTTTTTCTCTCTCTCTCTCTCTCTCCCTCCCTCCCACTCTACCTGATGATAAATAGAATAGTATCCTCGAATGAGGAATAAAAAAACCCCACTAGGTTGGTATTTCTGCCTCCAGTGAAGGTGGATTAAGAGGCACTGGATTTAGAGTCCCTTAAAACATCTAAAAGACGGGACAAAATGTAGCCAACAACAATTTTCAGATACTGGACACCAGGCGGCACAGGGCAGTGATCCTGAGAGGGGCACATGAGGTAAGCCCAGCTTACAGCCTGGAGAAGTTTCCCCGGTGCAGGTAGGTGCAGGAGGGGACCTGGGGCACTCACAGGGCAGTGCTGGGCAAGAGAGCTGCAGAGAGAGCGCAGAGATCTCGGGCTCCCCAGTCCCGGTGGAGGGTGGTCAGGCAGGTGTGAGAGGAAGTCCAAGAATGAGGAGAGAGCACTCCCTGAGGCTACACGGGGGCGGGAACAGTGTCTAGTCCACCAGTCAGAGGGGAAGGATACCTGCATCAGGGGATCAGCAGAATATTCTGACACTGGTTACTAACATTACCTCTGGAGGCTGCTCTCATCCCACCTAACAAAGCCAAAAGGGAACTTCAGAAGTATCAAACTGTCTCTGAGTAATTAAACTATATTCCAAAACAAAGTTTGTGAATACTTATAGAAGACAAAAATAATAATAATAATCCAGCACTTGTAAAGGTAAAAACTCACAATACTGGTCATCCAAGAAAAAAAATTACCAGGAGTGCAAAGTAGGAAAATACTACTCATTAGGAGGGGAAACAACCAGTCAATAGAAACAGACCCAGAAATGACAGGTGATAAAACTCATATATGAAATCATGACACAGATTGCCAGAAGTCATCAGTTTTCAGCGTCGTGTGCCAAAGGCTTCCCGAGACTCACTTGAGCTCAGCACCCCACTGCTTCAAAGAGAAATTGATGGAATTCGGGTGCCCTGGGGCTGACTGACTTGCAGCCTGTTCTCCCATCAGCTCTCCAGGGGCAGTTTCCACAGCTAGGACATTTCTGGCTTTTTCTGCAGAAGCATTCAGGTGTGGGTAAATGAAATCTGAAAGAGAGGCAGGCAGAGGTCAGTGACTCAAAGCTTCCCCATGAACCCGGATAGCCTCCATGAAACACTGACTGATGTATATATACAAGACGGCACAGTTTTAACGTAAACTGCATAAAAATATCTGTGCTGCCTTCAGTATTCTGCAACCATTTTCATCTAATAGAGATGCATTGTTTCCCAAAAGGAGGTTTGATATGCTTTAAACCACCAGCCGTTAACAGGCTTGGCCCAGGGAACAAGGAGGCTGGGTTCTCCTCTGGTCTTGTAGATCAGTAAACCTGATATTAGCTGTGATCAGGGTCCACTCACCTGTACTGATAAGAAACAACTTCCAAGTCAAACTGTTAGGTACAAAAAGCAAAGCACAGCCCGGCTGGAGTGGCTCAGTGGTTGAGCATCGACCCATGCACCAAGAGGTTGCCAGTTCGATTCCCAGTCAGGGCACATGCCCAGGTTGTGGGCCCGATCCCCAGTGGGGGGCATGCAGGAGGTAGCCAATCAATGTTCTCTCTCACTGATGTTTCTATCTCTCTCTCTCCCTCTCCCTTCCTCTCTCTTTAAAATCAATAAAGAAAAAAACCAAAACAACACAAAAAGCAAAGTGCAGATCAGATTATGCTGCAACCCCTTTTCTCTACATACACACACTAATATATGTAAACAGTAACACTAGTGAGTTTGGTGTCCCAGAAGAGCAGTTCAGTACATCCAACAGCCAAGTGCATTAATGCTAAAGCATGATCAAACGTCACACTGTAACACTCTAAGATGTAAGCTTTTGAATTTTTTAAGGTTGAAATTATATAATATCCAAGATCTGCTTCAAAGTAACAATATCTTGTTATTTAACAAATAAATAATAATAGTTGCTTCAAATGACATGATCCTTGCTTCAGAAATCACAAAATTAAGCAGCCAAGGGTATCAATGAAACAAGATGGGTTACAAAGTAATAATTGTTGAAACTACTTAATAAACATGGGGGTAATATGTTCTCTTCTGTTTGCATGTGTTTCAAATATCCCACAATAAAAACTTACTTTTTTACAGTTTCAACAACAATGTATCCAACTATAAGTACTTTGTTTTCTTCCAAAAGATCTCATCTCCACTTTGTAGCAGAAGGTGACACTGTTTCACAATGACTGGTCTACACTTCCTTCTAGGAACCATCTCTACAGGGCAATACCAACCACCACTTTTTCTGTGAAAACAACCAAAACGGAACTGCTGAATACTGACATCCTAGAGGATAAGAAAGACTTTCTAACCAGATGACACGAAATCTGTGTCGCAGAGCAGGAATGTGTGAAGGAGGCTGAGTACTGGTAGAGAAGGAAGGGCACTGAGCACCGTGTTGCAGGGGTCCCTGGAAATTGCTATCCCCAACACGTTATGCTGCATGTAGGTCACTCACCTGACCACGGTCAGAGTGGGAAGGAACACACTGGGAAAGAGGTCCCGAGTGACATAAGTGACTGCGATGTTTTGGCTCTGGCCAGGTGAGCAACACCGGCTTACAGTGGGGTTCTGAGTAGGACAAGCAAGAGGGTGTTGGAGACAGAAGGACTGCGATCTGGGAGTAGAGTTCAAGTTTGAGTCAAGAAGGCTAGAAGTTCTAAACCACCACAGATTCCCAATTCTTCCCAAATTACTCTCACATGTCAAGCACTAGGTACTGAGGGCACAACGAAGAGTGAGACAAAGTAGTGGCCCTAAAGGAGGGCACATCTAGGACAGAGAGAAACAAAATAATAAGACACTGAGCTAAAGTCACACGGCATGTGCCAAGTCCCTGGATTCTAGACCCCCTCCTCTGAGCCACGGGGCTCCAGGAGGTGCCTCGGGATTGTTGCAGGGAGAGGAGGGAGGAGTGCCACCCTCAGCGCCTGCCAAAGTGCTTCCTTTTTTCACTCTTTTTTTCTTTTTAATCCTCACCCGAGGACATTTTTCCTTTTTTTGTTCAGGTGGAGTGGAAGGGAGAGAGAGAAAGATTGATGTGAGAGAGACACATTGAATGGTTGCCACCCACACGACCCCAACCGGGGCTGGGGACAAACTGCAACCGAGGTACGTGCCATTAGCGGGAACCGAACCCGGGTCTCTCTGGACCGCAGGCCGACGCTCTAACCGCTGAGCCAAACCGGCCAGGGCCCTCTTTTCACTCTTATACTGGAGCTCCTCTTATGATTTCATTTGGGAAAGGAGTTCCAATAAACAAACAAAAAACTAGTTCAAACACCACTAAGAGGGACAGTCCCCTCGACCTGTTTCACTTGACGCGAAAGCCCAGAGCCAGGATGTGAACGCAGTTACCTGCCCTGCGGTGGACCAACCACAGCAGGTGCAGTGACTGTATCAGAGGTGGGCACGCAGCATTAGTGGGTGTGTATGCCAGCCAGTGAGGAGGAGGAGGCGGCAGGAAGGTTAAAACTGACACCTGGCTTCCCAAAGATTGGTCTTTCCCCGACTCCTCATGGGTAAAGCATTATAATTCTTTTAATGTTTTATTTATGGATTTTTATAGAGAGAGAAAGGGAAGGAGGGAGAGATAAAGGGAGGAAGAGAGAAACATCAATTTATTGCTTTAGTTATTTATGCATTGGTTGATTTTTGTATGTGCCCTGGCTGGGGATGGAACCCTCAACCCTAGTGCACTGCAACGGTGCTCCAGTTAACTGAGCTACCCGGCCAGGGCGAAGCATTAGGACTCTAAGCCAAGCCAGGAAATAAACACAAGGACTGTAAAGCCACTTCTTCCTGTGTGGGCTGGCAGCAAGGTGAGCACAGCCCCTCCATGAGGTCGGACTGTCAAGACAAAAACCCCAAGATTACCAAGAAAACCCCAAACCTTGAGTAACCGTCGCCCACACTGGAAATGCTTCCTGGGGAAGTAGAAGCCCTGGGGGTGGGTGGAGTAAAGGGACGAGAAGCCAGGGAGGATGTTGTCAGAACAGGTCATTTCTTTTTTCTTTTTTTTTTAATCCTCATCCGAGGACATTTTTCCATTTTTTGTACAGATAGAGTGGGAGGGAGAGAGAGGAAGAGAGAGGGAAACATCGACGTGAAAGGGACACATCGAGTGGCTGCCACCCGCACGACCAACCAGGGCCGGGGACAAACTGCAACCGAGGTACATGCCCTTAGCGGGAACCAAACCCGGGTCTCTCCGGACCGCAGGCGGACGCTCTAACCGCTGAACCAAACCGGCCAGGGCAGAACAGGTCATTTCTAAATACAATTGTTTGATGTGAAAAAGAAGCTATTTCCCAGCTTTGGCTATTATTGTTATTTCTGTCTGGTTTTCAGTTTTTAGACGATCACATGAGATTCACTTAAATCAGAGCAGAGCTGCGGGCTGCTCCTCAATGCGCGTCCTGACATTAGCATTCAAGGAACTGCCGCGGGCACACACTGGCTGGGGCGGCTCCCTGGACGCCTGTAAGAGGACAGGCTGCATTCAAGGTGTTTGATTTCATGGTGTCAGCGGGACAGAAAGTCTGTACTTGGGAGGTTTGCATTAGACTTTCTCTGTTCTTTTTAAACATTTTCAAGGGCCTAAACGACAACTTTGAGTGAGCTCTGGACGACAGCTTTGCATTTCCCAGGTCTGATTCCAGCACCACCTGTCGTTCCAATGTGGCCTGGGCAGCCCCAGCCTCCCAGGTCTGACCCAGCCGCCCCACAGATGCCACGCTAACACCGGGGGGCCGTGCTCACGGGGGCTGCCTCGGTGGAGCTCCCTCCTGTCCTGCTCCAGCCGCTGCCCCAGGGCCAGGTGCCGCCAGCAGCCCTGAGAGGGCACAGCTGGCTGCTGCAGGAGGGACCCTGTCGGGCCACGCCCAGGACGCACTGCTGTCCAAGAAAGAAGCAAAGAGCACTGGAGAGGCCGATCCCACATCAAAGACGACAGCAAAATGAGCCTGGACATCAGGCTGCGAGGTGGAGAAGGGCAGAGTGGGGTGAATCTGAAAATGCTTTTTCTTTCCTTTACCAAAGTGAGTTTAATCCAGACTGTGAAGGAGCAGTCAGTCGAGACAGCTTCCAAGTGGGGACACAGTGTAATCTAAGCACCACAAAGGAGAGGTGAGCCACCCGGTTCTGACAGCTCCAGGTGTGCCAGTCCGCGTGTCTCGTTGATCACAAGTCCACGTGCTCTCCCACCCCCCACTGAGGACACATATCCGGGGAGAACTGGACCTGGTGTGATTAGCTAATAGCTGTATAGCTGCCACCCATCACCAAGGGGAGGAATGAATAAATGTCAGTGGTACAGACTCTAAACTCTGTATTTAGAGTCCCCAAACCAAGTGAGGAAAATCAAATATGAGCTTCAGATGTTTTCTCTGGCTCCCACGTCCAACATTCTGGCTCAAAAGAAGGAAGGACATGCTACACACAGCACAGGGCTGGGTGCCCCTCTGCAGCCCTCCGCTCAGGTGCCACCTTGGTGCCTTTGCTGGAGGAGCCCCGGGCCCTCAGAGTGAGGAGCTGAGGCAGACCAGGGCCCGCTGTGCCCACTGCCCATTCCCCTGCAGTTTCCAAGCGTTCCAAGTGGCGTCAGCACTGAGTTATTGAGTTCCTTTTGATCAAAAGCACTACAACAGTGGCTTAAAACTCAGTCAATAACGAGTAGATTGGTGAACTAAACCTAGAGGCTTTAAGCTTGAAAATGAAGACATTGCCTGGCTGGGGTGGCTCAGTGGTTGAGTGCTGACCCTGCACCAAGAGGTTACCGATTGGATTCCCAGTCAGGGCACCTGCGGTTGTGGGCCTGATGGGGGGGCATGCAGAAGGCAGCCAATCGATGTTTTCTCTCATCGACGTTTCTCTCTCTCTGTCCCTCTTCCTTCCTCTTTCTCTAAAATCAATTAAAAAAAAGAAAATGAAGGCATCACCGCCGCTCGTGCCGTTAGAATCAGGATGTCGATGAAACGACCTGAGAGCTCTCACAGGACGATGAACAACGGGCACAAGCACATGCAGCGGTTCCCGCAGACGAGAGGGCCACCCTGCTGAGAAAGACCTGACTGGCTGAAAACAAGGCTGGCACAAAAATGGAGGTTGGAGGAAAAAGACAAAGTCTAAGAAGGCATCTGTTCCAAAAGCAGTCAGCTGCACACATGCCCAGGCAAGCGGCCAGGGGCGGCCGTGAGTTAGGGAGATGCCACAGATCCAGGAGGAAGCAGCACTGCAGTTTGACACTTAAAATCTCCCTGAGATGCCCGGCTGGTGTGGCTCAGTGGTTGAGTGTCGACCCTGCATCAAGAGGTCACTGGTTCGACTCCCGGTCAGGGCACATGCCAAGGTTGTGGGCCCGATCCCCAGTGGGGGGCGTGCAGGAGGAGGTGGTGGATCCTCTCTCTTGTCAATTTTCTATCTCTCTCTCCCTCTCCCTTTATCTCTCTCTAAAATCAATACAGATAAAACAAGAAAAAAGTCTCCCTGAGACACACACTGGGCTGCAGGTGAGCTCTCTGAGAAGCCGTCCCAGTGCCACTCTGCCCAGCCAAGCACGGAGGTGCAGACATGCGCACTGTGCACCCAGGTGGGCAGAAAGCACCTGGCCCCCAGCCCCATGCTGCCTGCCGACCTCAGCTGTGTCACCCCCACAGGCTGCCTGGCACTGGCCTCGCCTCACTCCCAAGGTCACGACGAGGTCTGAATGCAACTCTGGACACGGAAGCACTTCGTAGGTATGGATCACAAGGGGCCGTCACCATGACTTCGCTCTGAGCTCCCAGCGATGCTGCCTCGCTGTGTCCAACGGCAACACGCCAGAGCTGACGCAGGTCTGTTTCTGACTCACCTGTGGCATCTCTGGCTACAAGGCCCTTAGCAAAGTCCCCGAGGGTGGTGGAGGTCCTGCTGTCCCACTTGACCATGTCGAGACCGTTGCAATATTCCCATCTCTTCTGCTGCAGCTCCTGTAGCCAGTACGTCATGAGCTGACGATTAGGAGCCTAGAAAGACAGAGGGGAAGTGTTATGGCCAAGACGACGAAGGTTCAGAAAACCAGTGTGAGGACAGACTGAACATCTCGCCACCTGAAAGGGATAGTTTAGAAAAACAGGTCAAACAAATTTCAATTCAAGACCTACACCAGGAATACTGTTTAGCAACAAAAAACAACAAACCATTGCTTCATCCAACACAGATGAATATTTAGTGCATGCGTAAAAGAAGCCAGGTTCAAAAATCTACATGGATGTGACATTTTAAAATGCAAAACTATAAGCACAGGAAATAAATCTGTGGCTGCCAGGGCTTGGGGTGAGGGGAGTGGCTGCAAACAAAGGGACAGCACAGGAGAAGTTGGGGGTGACAGAGCTGTCTGCATCCTGACCATGGTAGTGGACACGAGGCTATGCATTTATCAAACTCACAGAGCTCCACGTGACAGAGAGTGAATTTCACTACATGTACATTAAAAACAAAAACAAAAACAAAACTCAACCAGGATGAGAAACAAAACCAAACAATGAACTAGCTGTGAACAAGCGAGAAGGCAGGTGTGGGCCCCACAAAGGAGCCTGAGGAGGCACCTCATCAACACTGCGTCAGGGAGGTGAGCAGACATCAGACAGTGGTTCCAGGGCCCGAGGCCGGTGGGAACTGGCAGCAAGTGCCAGGCCTGGAGACCAGTCTGCTCCTGTCCACAGCACGAGACAGTCTCCGGGGCTCCAACCTGGGTCTTGCTAGTGACACTTGCTCACACAGTCCCAGGTAAGGATAGCCATGGCAGGGGTAGGAACCATCTTTCTGCCAAGGGCCATTTGGATATTTATAACATCATTCTTGGGCCATACAAAATTATCAGCTTAGAAATTAGCTGCTGTATTTGGTCAGGCTGATTTGGTGAGGCAGGTGACGTTAGCTGGTATTGGTTTCGAGGGCCAGACGTCCACACCCCGGCATACAGAACCTCTGGGTATCTTACAGAAAGTTCTTCCACCTATCAGCCAAGCGATCATGGCATCCGCCCATTAACCAAGATTCACCATTAACGTTCTCTATCAGAAATAACAGATACCTGGGGTCAGGGCCTGGCTTCATGAGACAGAGGACAAGAGACCAGTGTCTGTGAGTGCGTGGGGTGCCACAGCAGAGGTCAACAGGGCAAGGCGGCTGCTGGGACAAAGAACACGGAGCAGACACCTAAGCAAGAGGAAGTGGGCAAGGGGACGGTACTCAAAGTTCAGGAAACCTGCCACCTGCACAATCAAAGGGTTCACAGTTTGGGCTTCATGTCACCTTCTCCAATAACCACAAACTCCCAGATGTCTCCATTTTTCCGGCATCTAACTCAGTGACGTGATTAGACGATGTCACTGCTGTGGAAAAGAAGAGGACAGGATGCAGGTCTGGGAGATCAGCCCACCCACGAGGCCCATGAAGCGTGGGATGATGGTGGTGGGGCTCGGCCAGCTCTGGGCAGGGCAAAGGGAACCCAGCTCTCCCAGGGGAGGGACAGGAGAGCGGCCGGGCAACACGACCAGAGCCAACCGCAGGCAAAGCCCACCTCGCCCCCCCTCCTTTCACAGGGCCCATACTGAGCCCCCACCCCACCACATCTCACGACCCCCAGCATGGCGGAAACTGTTTGGTTAGCGTGTACACGCATATGCGTGTGTGTGGGTTTTGGTCCTTCCACCAGCTTCCTTGCCTGGCTCCCATCCCTGTCCCAGGGAGAAGACCACCAGCCATTGTCCAGACACTTGCCTGCCCCACCCCCATCTGCACATGCTCCTGTTCCTGTCTGTGCTCAGCAAACACTCTCGAACAAACACTCACGGGGTCAGATCCCTTGCCAACCTCTCCAGCTGTCTCCTACACCACAGGCATGATGGAAAATCTGCTTTTTACAGGAAAACGTTCTTCCTTCACATCTCTACATAATAAATCTAACTAGGGAACAATTAGTAACCTCTTAATCATCTCTCTCTAAATTTCTGAGGCAAAAACCCTTTTAGATCACATTCTTTTTCCAGGCCTGACACATTATTCATGTTACAGAAACCTGGCCAAGAAGGAAGCAAACACCTCGAGACAGTGAGTAACAGGTTTTTTTTTTAAATCCTCACCCAAGAATACTTTTCCATTGATTTTTTTTTTTTAGATAGAGTAGAGGGAAGGAGAGAGAAAGATCGATGTGAGAGAAACACACCGACTAGCCGCCTCCTGCACAACCCCACCTGGGGCTGGGGAGCGAACCTGCAAGCCAGGTGTATGCCCCTGACTGGGAATCGCACCTGAGACCCTTCGGCACAGGGCTGATGCTTTGACTGCTGAGCCAAACCGCAGGGCAGGCTCCTTTTCCTATCTGAAAGCCCAGAGGCCTCTGAAAGCCTGGGGGGCGCTGCCACCCGAGCCCTGAGAGGCGGCGCGGTGGGCACGTGGCCGGGGTGTGCAGCAGGGAGGCCGGAAGGCCCTTCTCGAAGGAAGCTGAAGCCCAAACACAGCAACACACGCGGGGACAGGACAGGGCAGGACCGAGAGCAAAACATGGCAAAATCTGCAGAAACCAAAGCCCCTGCATTTTCCATCTGCCATCTTTTACTGACACAGAGCCTGCCTGAGTCCTGGCAGATGTAGAATCAGAACTAGTCTCTTCGCTGCCCCCGTCTCGCTCCGGCATGTGCAGTTCGTCTAGATTCGCCCCGTCCGGCAGCTGCATGTGGCTAGTAAGCATGTGATGCGCAGCTGTACCACAGAGTGACATGTTCGGGGTACACTGGGGTAAATAAAATGTGTTATTAAAACTAATTTTAATACCTGCATCGTTTAATGCAGGTATCTGAAAACTTAAAAATATAGATCATGGCTCACGTGGTTTTTGTATTAAACAGAGCTGGTCTAGATCATGATGACGAATAAGTTCCATTTCGAGAGTCAAGGTGGGTAGGAAACCCAGAGGGTAGGAAATGGCCTGGGGGTTCAAGCGTAGGCCAAGTGCACCAGGTTTGTGGGGTGTGGGGCAGCCAACGGTACTTTATGACTCAAGACAACTTCCTTTTTTAACTAGACACCCCCACAGCTTCAACCACCCATGCCGGTCATGTCCATGGAGATGCCAGTTTTCTTTAGGGACCAAAAAGAGTGAGTCTGGCTGGACTGGCTCACAGTCTCAGGACCTTTACTCCCCTCCGAAATCGGGGCAAGTAGGGCCCCGGATCATCTGGGAATTCCCTCCACTGCACAGCGTTGAGCTAAGGGCAGGTGACGTGGTCGGTGCTGACACTGTCACCCACAGCACGCTCACGAGCACCTGCCTGCCGGGGGTTAGAGGGGCTCCGGAGAATCAGCACCTGCCTCGCCTCCCAATGACCATTTAAATGCTGTACAGCCAGACGGACACTGCCGTCCTGCTGGAAGGGAAGTGACAGGCTGAGCTCCACAGCGGAGTGCACGCTGGACCAGGCAAGCAGCCAGCAGGGGCTGGGGGTCAGCATGCCTGTCTGAAGGCTCTCGGGGCCATATCCTGAGCCTCCCATGTCTCCACTCCTACTCAGCCTTCAAAGCCCAAGGCAAATGCCACCTTCCAAGGAGGTTTCCTTGACCCAAGCCTGGCCGCCCTCTGAACAGGAAGGTCACAGCACCATCTAGCCCAGGGCAGCTTCCCATGGTGGGGGACACTCCCTGTGTGTTCTGCACTAGCCTACATGCCCTGGAGGCAGAGGCCAGACCCGCTGGCCTCACTGTGGCCCAAGATGCCTACAGCTAAGCGCTCATCCTCTCCTCACGTCCCGCTGCTGGCACTGCCTCCATCGGCCTCAATCCCAGTTCACACTGCACCAACCCCCACAGGACAGACCACGTGGGAAGCCACTTTGGTTGTTCCCTTACACAGCTGCTAGGATGTCCTGGGAGGGGGGGGGGCACGCAGACAAGGGCTGGGTGGGCACAGCCCTGCTATAACAGATGTCTGTGCATTCTGGTGCCATCACATGAGGGGCTGGTTCCGAGGATGAAGACCAGGCCACCTTGTTGTGGCTGGAGGTGGGGTCCAGTCCCTGGCAGCTGCCTGGGACCATGCGCCACCCCAGCTGCTCCCACAAGCCTCTGTCTCCACGCACAGGAAGACAGGCCCCAGCACCTGTCCCCTCCTGGACCCCAGGGATCTCCTTCCCTCCAAGCCCAGACCTCTCCTTGGGGCTCAGAAAAGTCCCACAATAGTCATTTGATCACAACTGTATTCATTTCTTTCTTCTTTTTTTAATCCTCACCTGAGGATACTTTTCCACTGATTTTTTTTTTTTTTTTTTTAGATAGAGTGGAAGGGAAGGAGGGAGAGAAAGAAAGTGAGAGAGAAACATCAATGTGAGAGAGACACATCGATTGGCTGCCTCCTGCATGACCCTGACTGGGCCCAGGATCGAACCAGAGATTCTGGTCCAAGGGACAATGCTGCAACCACTGAGCCAAACAGGCCAAGGCACAAGTTCATTCACTTCAACACACACTTATCAAGGGCACGTTCAGCAGACAAGGGCATTACTGGGGGAGGGGTGGCGCACACACAGGAGCTGGGCCTCGTGCCTGACTTCATCCTCGTTACACAACTGACCCAAGCTCTCTTACCCATGGGGCCCCGCCCTGTGGTAAGGGGTCATCTATCAAAACATAGCACCTTTTAGAAGCTGTAACAATGCTCATCTCTCCTTCAACCCACAACTCCTTTCCTGGGAATCTTTCTAAAGTAATCCAAAAGAAGGAAAACAGAAAAACACCATGTACGTAAAAACAGCGTTCACTCACTTGGCAAATATTGATTAAAAGCATAACACAGGCCCGGCCGGCATGACTCGGTGGACTGAGTGTCGTCCGTCCCAGGGACTGAGAAGGTCTGGTTCTATTCCCTGTCAGGGCACACGCCCGGACTGTAGGTTCCATCCCCAGTAGGGGGCATGTAGGAGGCAGCCGACTGATGTTTCTCTCTCATATTGACATTTCTATCTCTCTC